TTAGCCCGCCGGTCGGGAGATAGACTATGACTTCGCTAGTTCTTTCCCGTCATAAACATGCTATAATCAAGCTACATGAGCTGTTCATGGTCTTCAATCCATCTATCAGGGCGGCGAAAGATGAAGCTCGGGCTGTTGAAGTGGTTGCAGCACAGATCAACAAAGTCCTACGATTTCAACCTTGGTGGTATCACATCCAACGGACCAACTCATGGCATTTCTCATGAAGCCGACGGAGAGCTAATATCTCCCTAGACAGCATTGGAGAAGCCGACATGGTGTATACAGTCTAGCTTGGTATCTCGGGAACGGCTCGGCTAGCGACAATTTTCCTGGACAACTTCCTCCTGAGGCTATTCTCTCCCAACTTTTGGAGTAAAAACGAGGCTGAAGTTTCCTTGCATTCCAGCGCGCATAATACCCCATTGGTTCGTAGACGCCCTTTCCCAACGCCTGCATAACATGGCTTGAGGGAGATCGTCAGTGCCAGAATTGAGGCTCTGGCAGATACAACGACATTTCTCCAAAACAAACCCACGTTTTTCGAGGTGAGACATTCATTTTCAGCTATCGAGCTTGGGATTTATCACCTCCCTGTTTAGGAATGAAGCTTTGATCTAGGTGCGGCGCGGTACGGGGGTCGGGAGAGATTCCGGTGTAGAACTCGGGAGTGATCCCGATCATGTGACCTGAGATCCGTGAGAATAGTTGAGTATGCTTGTTTGATATCATGTTACTGGTCGTGATTCAATGAAGCATGACTTTCTTTATAATCAGTGTGTAATATTTCGAGCATGTTATCAAGTTGAGCTAGGACCACCCAAGCTGTTGGGAGGTAGTACACTCGATATCAGAAATTAGGCTCAAGCTGACATGTAGCTGAAGGAAGCTGTTACTTACGAGATTGGACATTGAGTAAAGGGGATGTGTCTTTCAGCTATGCCCCGGGCCAGACCATAGACGACTCAAACAAGGAAATCAACTGTACTGAAATCTATCAACTCGGAGGTTCGGTATCATAGTCCTCAACGACCATATTGGGAACAGACCGAACAGGCCGATATCGAAAGCTTTTGGATCAAGGAAGCTATACACCAATGAAAGTATATTCTAAGAGACTGAGACGTGTAGATATCTATATCTCGCGCTTCTGCGAGATTCATATGCTAACAATATGCAAATACTGACTGATTTGCATGCCTGATGCTGAGAATTAGCATTAGAAGAATACTACCTGAAGTAAACATTGGGACCATAGATATAAGCTGTGGAACAGCATTATTGAGGACTATTTTCGAGAAAGTAGTTGTGAGTATGAAACAAACAGTGCTTTCCAAGGAGCATACGATACTATCAGGATCACTCGAGAGTCTGGCGATATTAGCCTGATCCAAGCTCCTGGTAATGACTAGCGTGAGTAAACGACGGTCAATATCAAGCCCAAACATCATCATCAATGCATATTATGGACAACTAGGGTGTGTCTCGTCTATACTTGCCAACCTCCTGTCCCTCCACTGTCCAGAGTGGATATCCCTCGAGCGCCAGGCCAAACTCCCTTACTAACCCCATAAGCTATAGCGGACAGTTCAGTGACAATTCGCCGCAATCACCAAGTCAAATTTAGCCAGCTACAAATGTACCAACTCACTCAGGTCGAAATAAGTGCTCTGAATCGGTAATTTCTCAGTGTTTGCCACAATCGATAAGTTAGAGTTTACCATTTCGGCTGGAGAATCCGAATAATTACGGTGTGCGCAGTGGTTCGCCAGCGCCGAGAGCTTCTAGATTGCAACTTAGTGGCGTTCTATTGGAGTCTTTTGGAGAAGAGCAGTGAAGTGGTTGCACCTCTGCGGAGATTCCGTGAGGAGCTGAGCATGAAAGAAGATGGTGGGAAGCTGAGGGGAGAGAGCAAGGTACTTATCTTGCAGGGATCGGGATCGGAATCCGAGGATACGGGTAGACTCTCTTTAGACTCTACAGAGTACAAGGGAGATGATAAGAGACTGACCTAGGTGAGCGATTTTGTGATACCTTAGATAAGTATCCTATCTATAATGGGGCTCGAACAAGACTATTGAGAGAGTATCCATATGGTGGAGAGATATCATCTGTAGATTACCGAGATTCACGTCTTCACAATGAATTACCCTATTCGTATGTTGTTGTGCCACACCAAAACACGTAGAACAAACCCCTCACTTATCACATGCGCAACGCCCAAATACACTCCAAGTCTAGACCAGACGTAGGCAGAGTAGCCGTCCCCCAAACATAAACTAACTAACGATTCAAAAACCTGGGGTCAGAGGCTGCAAGATGACAACAGTGAGTGATTTCCTGACCAATTGCACGACCCCCAAACACACCACATTCCAACGTCTGCACGAGCTAATCGAGTGCCGATACAGGCTTTCCCCAGAACTAGTTCAGTCTTGGTTCGGTGGGACCGAGCTTTCCCCGTGGGGAAGACCCCGGTCGTTCGTTCAGCTCTCCAATCTAATGGCCTTGGGTGCCCCGACTGCAAGGGCCTGGACCCATGGGCTAGGGTGATAGTGCCTAAGCTAGCCTGCAAGATAAGCTCTTGTTCAAGTTACCAACGACACCATGCACGTACTACCTCAGGCATGGTTCACTGTCTGTTATCTCTGCTTCTGCTCGACACTATATAAACCGCCCTGAACCCACTCATTCCTGCCTCCTTCTCCTCAGACCTCGTCTCTAACACCTTCCACCTATCCTTCCCATTCTTCTCCCTCATCACCACTTCTACCTCAGGCTGGTTTCAACCGCCTCTTATTTCACAATGTCAGACGACGAGAAGAGACGAAACTCCGCCTCAAAGGGCAGTGCCGTCGCAGGCGATGCCTCAAGCATTCAATATGTCGACGACCAAGGCATGGGCCATCTTCACCGACGCCTCAACAACCGTCAGATCCAGCTTATCGCCGCTGGTGGTTCCATCGGAACAGCTCTCTTCATCTCCATCGGTGGCGGTCTCGCCAAAGGTGGTCCTGGCAGTCTTCTCATCGCCTTCGCCCTCTACTCCCTCGTTCTCGCCTTAGTCAACAACTCGATCGCTGAGATGAACACATATATGCCCGTCGCCGGTGGATTCGTACGTCTTGCTGGCTACTGGGTCGACGATGCGCTAGGTTTCCTCGCTGGTTGGAACTTCTTCCTCTACGAGGCTCTTATTATTCCCTTTGAGATTACTGCCTTGACATCTGTTATTTCCTTCTGGAACCCCGATGTTCTGAACCCTGGCCCAACCGCTGGTATCTGCGCTGCAGTCATTATCTGCTACGGGTAAGCTTGGCCTCTTCAGCTAATCGAACTATACTGACCATTTTACAGTCTTCTCAATGTTCTCGCCGTTCGATTCTATGGTGAATCCGAGTTCTGGCTCTCAGGCGGAAAGCTCATTCTGATCTTCCTCCTCTTCGCCTTTACATTCGTCACCATGGTTGGAGGAAACCCCCAGCACGACGCCTACGGCTTCCGACATTTCTCCAACCCCGGATCATTCACCACATACCTTAGCCAAGGCGACAAGGGCAGATTTGAGGGTTTCCTCGCCGCCCTCTTCACAGCTGCCTTCACCGTCGTCGGCCCCGAGTATATCTCAATGGTCTCGGCTGAGGCCCAGCGTCCTACATTTACCATCAAGAGCGCCTTTAAGACAGTATACTATCGATTCTGCATCTTCTTCATCTTTGGTGCTCTCGCCGTTGGCATCGTCTGCGCTTACAACGACCCCAAGCTCGTCGACATCTACTTCGGTGCTGGCGGTACTGGCAACGCTGCTTCTTCCCCATATGTCATTGCCATGACCAATCTCGGTATCAAGGGTCTTCCTCATCTCGTCAACTTCCTGATCCTTACATCTATCTTTTCCGCCGGTAACACATACACCTACTGCGCTACCCGAGCTCTCTACTCTTTGGCCCTTGAGGGACGCGCCCCTCGGTTCCTGCGATACTGCAACAAGTCCGGTATTCCCGTCTACTGCTTCTGTGTCACCATGCTCTTCCCCTTCCTGTCCTTCCTCCAGGTTGCCAACGGTTCCGCCAAGGTTCTCGGCTGGTTGATCAGCATCGTCACTGGTGGCGGTCTTATCACCTTCATGATCATGTCCATCACATTCATCAACTACCACCGCGCCTGTGTCGCCCAGGGCGTCGACCGCAAGACCGAGCGACCCTACTACGGCTACTTCCAGCCTTATGGTGCCTACATCGCCCTCGTTGTCCAATTCGTCATCGTTCTCGTCTATGGATACTACGCCTTCCGACCCAAGTTCGACGTTGAGGTGTTCTTCCAGAACTACTCCATGCAGATCCTCGCTATCATCCTCTTCTTTGGTTGGAAGATCCTTAAGAAGACCAAGTACATCCAACCTCACGAGGTTGACTTGGTTTGGGAGCGACCTATGATTGAGGCGTATGAGGCCACCTTTACCGACCCTCCTGTCGGCTTCTGGCACGAGATGGGCCAGTTGGTGATGCCTTGCTTCTTCAAGAGGAGTAAGAGGACTTCAGAAGTTTGAAGCGGGTGCTTCAATTCTTGTATTTGTTTAGCTGGGACATGACTGGATAATATCACTTGCGAGTATAGTTCAATTAACACTGTTAACAACACTTCTCACTCTAATGCTAGATGTGACTTCTAATCATCCTCCTTCATTCTATGATGCGCAGTTGCTAACGTAGGTCTATAAGGCTGAGGGGTTATACGAAGCTTAAGCCACAATACACAGGCAAAGAACACATCTCAACACATACGGGTAATACACTTCAGTGTCCTCACCTCAACCTCCGACGATGCCCATAATGAAAAGCCAGTTATGCTGAGGGCCGATGACCCCTAGCCCCCTAATACGATGTACAATTGCAGATGCTTTCTGAGCTGCCGAGGTACTAATAAACAAACAGAGCGAAACGACTTTCACTGGCACTAGCTTTTCCTTGAAATTAATACCATCGATGGAATGGCTTGGAGGAGATAATATTTATACTAATAGAATTGAACCAGATCTATCTGGGCCCAGTGCTCACAGCCTTGCGCGAGGTTCCTCCACCGTCTTCTCACCGCCTTCTATCCTCTCAATGGCCCGTTCAAACGCAGCAACAACATCATGCTCACTAATCCACAAAGGGTTCATCCTCTCCTTCACCCTCCGTCTTAACTGCTCATCCGTCTCCGTCGTCGCCCGCTCGATATTCGACTTCTGTCCCGAAATGTTCTTATGTACAATACCCAAGAGCTTATCTAGGTGCGGTTTGCGAGTTGCTTCATAGAGCTCAAAGACTTGTGCAAGTTGAACTTTCGTAGGCTTTCCCGTTTGCGCTGATGAAGGAGGCCAAATATGATCGAGCGAGCGGTACAAGGCATATGCATCATCGATGGCGAGTGAGCCCCCTGCTGCGAAGGATCCTCCGTGGGTATGAGCCGCATCGCCTACGAGCGTTACACGATTGGAGAAGGACCACGTATCAAGAGCTGCGCCGGCGTAGTTGGGGAAGAGTTTGACATAGGGCGTTGCGTCTATGAAGGCTCGGACTGTTGGGTTCCAATGCTTGAGGGTGTCAGCATGGTGAAGAGTCCGACGGGAGGGGTTACTTACTTGGTATAGCCTCTTGAACTCTTCGACACTGCCATCTTCATCCCACTTTGCTTCTTGGCCTGGTGATTTGGGGTCTTTGGGATCGGCGTGGTAGCCACCGACGATGGTGAATAGACCTTTGCCTATGATCATACATTAGTGAAAGTGTCGAGGAAGAACTACTGGCCTCTTACCTAGATGTGAATGGAAGAAGGTCGTCTCATGACCAGCCTGTCGACCTATATCAGCTACCCGTTGGTCCGAGATTCTTGAGAACTTACCCAGTGAGCTGCATCCTCGGGATAGTCAACATCCTTCAATCTGTCGGCATCGAAGACAGCCCGGAAAGCGACCCAGCCTGTCCAGTGCAGTTCATGTTCAGGTACAAACGTCTTGCGGACTTTCTGTCAATACGTTAGTTATCTGATCCACCAACCAGTGTATGAACATACCGATCGAAGGCCATCCGCCCCAATGACGACATCAGCTGTCGCCGTCGTCCCATCCTCAAAGTAAAGTGTAGCTCCCTCATCAGGATCCGCCTTGACATCAACAGTCGTCTTCCCCAAATGAACAACACCCTCCGGTAAATTCTCCAACAGCGCCTGGTGAAGGTGCGCACGATGGAACCTCGCTGTCGCATGCTTCTTTGTCTTCACTGAGGTGTGTACATCATAGTCGATGACTTCTCCAGTCTTCCAGTGTCGGTATATCATGGGGTACCCTGACTTTTGACGCTGAGCGAAGCCCTCAACAAGAGCATTTTCAACACCAAGGCGGTCAAGTGTTCTGAGGCCATTTGGGCCCAGAGCTATACTTGCGCCGATTTCTTTAAACTCGGGTGCTCGCTCGTAGACTTGTACGTTGACATTTGGGTGCTTGAGGAGTGCGATTGCTGTGATGAGGCCGGCGATGCCACCACCAGCGATCGCTACCTCGAGCTTAGGTGACTCTTTTTGAACTGTCATGACTAGTACAGATCTTGAAGCTACCTCAATTAGCGATATGGACTCACCTTAAGTAGATGAGTATCACTAATTCAAGTCATGGTACCTCAATTGAAGCTTACCCCAAGTGTAACTTATCGGATGAACCCCGACACTGATTCGAGCACGCCATCTTATTCCCCACTAATTCCCTATTTACAAGACGCAGTCAACGAAGCAGCCAATGTGAGTTAAATATTGCATTTTGATAGCTGATAATGTCATTTGGAAAGTGTATGACGAGGCACCGATATCGCAAATGCGAAAGTTATGCGTATTCTCATTCAAGTTACTCAAAGAAAGCCCCTCGTTTGCTCCCCGATCCCTCCAATACCACTAAATAACATCAGTAAACGCTGCCACCCATTGTTAAACATGTAAACATGTCTAAGCAGCAATGGGCTCCAAGTATGATGGATCCAAAACCCTCGTCGAAGTCGTCATCAAAGTAGGAGATCTATGCATGAGTGCCTCTGCATCTGCATTTGGAGCCAGGGCAGAGGCGCAGAAACAGAAGTCGGCCTTTCGGTTATTGTCTGCTTCGTGTTTCTCCATCTTGAGATAGCTGGGCTTGGATTAGAATTTGGTACAGTATGGCTGAAGCAAGTGAAACTCACTCATCGATAAAGGCATCGGCTGCGGCTTTGACCTTGAAGTGACGAGTGTTCACCATAGGTGTAGCAGACATTATCGAGCCAAACATATCCGGAATCCGGACATCAATAGGATGGCCCTTTCCATTGACCTCCGTGTCTCCGTTTATAGTAGCAATCATTTTGTCGATGTTTAGATGTACAGTGCCGCTATCCAAGACGGATGATGAGTGTGTCATTGTCCGCTCCACGTTAAGTTTTGAAGAGCGTCGACTTTTAATATCACTTCAACAAAGGGGTTTCGCATCATGTAAGATAGCCGCCTCGAGATTGTAAGTACGAAAGATGCCATTTTGAGAAGGTCCGCTCTCTGTCAGCCAACGATCTGCAACTCAGCATCCTACGGAGCTGGAAGATTACCCATTTGGGAGATACCTCGATGGCCTTGGATGTTAGCCTCTTTCCATGGACACCTCTGCTTAAAGGCATATGATTCAACCGTGAAATGAGAGAGGCAAAGTTATTGTTCCCCAATACACCTTCGCCATGCCTTCCATCAAGCTCATCATCCCATGTGAGGCCATGTTTAACACTAGCTTCCTGTCTACTTCCTGGAGCATTGTTACTATACAGTCCTGACTTTGAGACTAATCACAGCCTATTGGCTCTTCCTGGTCTTCCATCGACTCTTTGCAGGAACGTCCCAGGGCCAAAGATCGCGGTGGCGACTAGCTGGTATAGTTCTACGAGGACGTCATCCTCGATGGCCACTACATCAAGGACTACCCTCAACTCCATGAGAAACATGGCGAGTGACAGCGAACCAAAGTATGTGTTTTGGTTGCTGATATGATCTCGGGTCCAATTGTTCGAATGAGCCCAACAGAGTGCACATCAACGACCCAAACTTCTATCACAAGTGAGCCCACGAAACCTCTGGCAAAACATCAATGCGCCACTGACACGTCTCTTCTAGGGTCTACTTTACTGGAACGAAGCTTCTTCAAGTGCCCTCCATGTTCAGGTCTGCCTGCGAACTGGATGCCCTGCCTTTTATCATGGATCCGGCAGTCCACAAAGTACGCCGCGTTGTTGTCAACCCTATGTTCTCACACCACGCTATCAAGGACTCCTTACCACACTCTCTCCAAGTCATCAAAGGCGCTCTCAAAAGAAGATGGCGACTCTTATGAAACTGAAAAGCCCGGTGGCTCTGTCACATAGATTCAGTCTCATCAAACACTTCCCTATGCTACCCACAGCTTGGCCTATGTTATTCCAGGCTTCAACGAGTTCCGGAACGTAGATCAACTGCATTTCAAGATACACCCAATTACCCGTAGAACTAACACTGTATAGCAATGTGCTCAATGGGCCAACGATGTTCGCGAGAGACACCAAAACGGCGTGTACACACGATGAAACTGGCCGACAAACCGTCTTCGATGCTATTCTAGACGCCGAGCCCAATCACTCGACCAAGGGACTGGTAGACGAGGCATTTCCACTAGCCATTGGCGGTACCGAGACCACTGTGACGACCATTACTTGTAGTCTGGTGCATCTTGAAGAACCCCGAAGTTGAGATGAAGATGCTAGAGGACCTGCGCACAGTCGAAACAGTGATGGTATAATGGAATATCAGAACCTCATTAATCTGCCTTACCTGGTGACCTAATCCGCCCATAACAAAACTTACCGATCTGACGTTACAGACTGCTGTGATCCATGAGACTCTTCGCATATCCTCCCCAGCTCCTGGTATCCTTACACGTCTTGTGCCAGCTGAAGGAGCCAGATATGGCAGCCACTTACTGCCTGCAGATGTACGTCTAAAACACGCTGTTTAATTGGTACTCAGAGTACCCTACTAACACCAGCTCTTCTCGGACTTTGTCTCAACAGCGCAGCGCCTGATCCACTACGGCCCAACCCTCTTCCCAGAGCCCGAGACCTTTATGCCCGAACGATGGCTCGACAACAGCGACAAGGTTTCCAAGGAGAACCTTACTCCATTCAGCAAGGGCCCGCGGATGTGCGTAGGCTTGAACTTGTCGTATATGGAGGCTTATGTTTTCCTGGGCAACCTCATTCGCTGATTTGACTTGAGCTTGCATGACAAGAACCAGGGCATACTTCGTTGGAGTGACTACATCGCTCTTCAGACTGAGGCCAATGAGTTTCGACAAATGCGCTCACATACTATCTATGTCGGAACTCAGTGGTTTCAGAGTACGAAATTAGGGATTGGTTCGATACAAAGAGTATCATAGCTGAAACGGAATGGATCTTAACAGTATGATACCACGCTTTTGCAATTCCATGAAGAGAGCTTGCTTCTCAACCTCTTGCTTGCATAGAAAGAGAATTGCTGTTATATCCAACCCTGCCTGTCCGAATCCGTCCATTTTGTTTACTTCGTCCAGATACTGACACCTCTGCCTAGCGTGCTTGTCTTCATGTCTTTGCACCCGTATCTATGTACCAAACGGTGCTACAGAAGGAATACTGGACTCTGCATCTTCCCTTGTCTTTTGCACTTCGATGGGTTTCACGATATCCACAGCTTAGTATCATTATTCTGTTTGCTCACTGCTCCCAAACTCACCTAATGGGTGCTCATGAGTGCTGCTGTAGCTGAGGATCCAGAGGACATGTAGGCCGAAATTCATCACATGGAACCGGATTGGACTGAATTTATGTTCGGATTTCCTCATGGACATCTCCAGCTCCAAAAAGGAAACACCATAGATCTCAACAATGACACATTGATGTGTTGGCTTGATATATCTCGTTGGGATATCATAAGCTTTAACTATCAAAAAATGACACGCCTTTCGATTATACACCTAGCATGGATAAGATGTACACCTCACCAACAACCTTCCAAACTTCACCTCTTCTGGAAAGCATACTCAATGGCGGTCTTTATCCTTGTGATTGGTTTCTCTCTCTCTAGTCGATTCCAGTAATAAGGGGACCTGGGTCAGTAAGAACAGGATAGGTCCACGGCCAGAGAGTTTCTTCTTTCGATAGGATCTCACCTTGTCGATGTTTTGTTACTCTATGGGAAACATGGAAAACTCTAACAATCAAGATCTCTTCCAAGCACTCCACATCGCAAAGGTCTATACAGGCTAAAAGATCAGCTACATCAAGCTGTGAAGAGTTACTTCATTGCTCCTTCACAATCACAGATTGTCGTAATTCTGATCGAAATTTGTGCAAAGCTGCTTGATAGTCTCAAGTTACAGTATCGAGATCTTTGAACCGGCCATCAGCAGACTGATCGATGACAATGGAGATGACGATGAAGATTGCCATGATCGAAGAAATCTATAGATGTCAAGGATGAGAAGATTGGCCTGGTTGATAGCAAAGGTTAGTGTAGTATTAGACGAGCATCAGTGGTTTGCTCAGAAAAGGTTGCTTCAGGATGTTCCATTGCGATTTACAGGTGTTATATTTGGCTAGCAGCATTACTTAGAACAAAGTACAGGACCTGGTGGATCTACAGTCTTACCACAATTGACACTTCCTTCGAACAGACGAATGTTAAGATATTATCTATATGCAGTAAGAGGGAGCAGAAATAAAGAGTAACATGATATAAATATTTCCTGTAGAGCGAAATGTGTTTCTGGTGTTGGGCTAAAAATACACCATCACTAGGTGGACAGGGGTATCTCAGGTTACAGGGGTAAGATAATTAGAACCAAAAAAATGCGACCGAGGGGAATCGAACCCCTCTCTAACGCTTGGAAGGCGTTAATGCTAACCACTACACCACGGTCGCTGGTGTTTTGAGGCGATGCCTCGTGTTGTTGTTGGAGGAAGCAATTGCAAAGACCATTATATACTCAATTTTTACAAGAATCAAGCATCTCAATTACAGTCTTCTCACTCATTACTACTAGCTACTTCCCAACTCTTCTCACCCACTAATATCTTGCACTTTGCACTTCGCAGATTTTCTAGGACATTGCGTATAAATTTTGTATTTAAATCCCATTAATAATTCTCTTGTAATTCAATGCTATCTATTTCTTATTTCATTCCAAACCATTGATGAATCTAGTATCATACATGTACAATTACATCTCAATGGCCAGCTTGCTGCGAGCTCTAAGCTTATATCCGTACTTGAACATGACGAAAGGAATCAAGCTCAGCACGGTGCCAAAGAGGGCAAGAATGAGACCAGCATACTGACTTCCGACATTATGGAAGAAAGCATTGGCGAACAAAGGCGTAACAGCGCCAAGAGTGTTTCGCATCAGACCCTGACCAGCAATGGCGGAGGAAGAGCTTTCACCGTAACAGTCGGCAGTGTAACTGTATGTACTTTCGAAAACGAAGTAGATACCAAAGGCGATAGGAGCAAGACCAATTGCGGGACCAACCCAAGAGACGTGAGAGTATTGGGTGAAGCTGTAGATGAAGAGGCCAATGGGGAGGAACATAGCTCCGTACATGGCGCCGTAGAGACGGGCTTCGGGGGTGACCTTGACGTTGGGGTCGGCGACGAGACGGTCAAACTTGCGCATCTGAAGGTGATGAGCTAGCCAGCCAAGGGTAGTACCAATGCAGAGAGAGATGTAAGGAAGACCGCTGACACCCTCACCCCAGCCGTGGTGCTCCTGGAAGGTGATGGGGATGACGGACAGGAAGAGGAAGACAACAGCCCAGCAGAAAGCAATCCAGAGACCGAAGGCGAAGACGACAGGCTCAGTGACCAGCATGTGAATAGCCTTTACAGAACTAGCCTTAAGCATAGCCTGCAGACTAGGAGTCAAGATATCGCCAGCAGAGACGTAGCGCTCATCGCCAGTAGCCTGTCGAAGAGCCTTAGCTCGCTTATGAAGAGCGACACCACCACGGGTCTCAGGGAAGTAGAAGAAAATAACGAGAAGCAGAGGGACATTAGCAATACCCTGAATGCCCTCAATCCATCGCCATCCAATGGCTTGGTCAATGAAGCCAGCGTAGATAGGAGCGGCGACAGTTCCGAAGATAGCGACCCAACTAAACATAGCCATAGGTCGACTTCGGTGATGAGGCTCGTACATATCATCGAAGGTGCCGCCAACAAGAATAGTACCGACACAGCCGAAAAGACCGAGGAGGAGTCGAAGGCCAATGATGGTGTCGATATCCTTGGCGAGAGCGAGACCGATGAAGAGGAGCGAGAAGCATAGGAAGGAACTGGCGTAGACAACCTTGCGACCGACCAACTCACAGAAGGGAGCTAGAACCATGGGCGCGACAGCACAGCTGATATTGAAGGTGAAGAGACCCAATTGACCCTTGATGTTTGGAGCATCGAGGTCCTTGCACATGCTAGCAATGCCCGAACTGTAGGCCGTAGTAGCAAGACCGATGAACAAAGTCATCAAGTTGAGAATAGTCGAGATAGATCGCTTATACCAAGGATTCCAGTTAAACGGATTCTCCTTATCGCCTGTCGCAAAACCAAGCACGATATACTCCTTGCCCTTCTCGTTAACAAGTTCCGTCAAGGTAAGAGGCATATCAATATCAACAGTCTTGATAGCCCCAAACTCTGGATCAACAGACTCATTGCTTGGGTCGACATATTTACCACCAACAATGCGTCCAGCAAGGGGCTCACCCTTTTCATTCTTCAGAACCTCCACATCCGTAGACTCAGGGTCCGAAGCACCCTTATCCTCACTATTAGCTCTCGAAGGGGGAGCCGTAGAGTTCTTCCTTGAAGGAGCAGCAACGGAATTCTTTCTCGAGGTCGGAGGCACAGCAGAGTTTCGTCTCGTGCCCACGAACGAATTCGCTCTAGAATTCGCGTAGAAACTCGTAGGCCTTGAAGCAGACGGTGAACCCAGAGGTAGAGGCGACCCTGGCCTTGAGTTGGGGGCAGAAAAAGATGGGATATAATTAGACATGATGGGTAGGTATGATAAGACGAGAGCGTACTGTTAGAGGGGAGGTTGACTCAAGGAGATAAGAGTTTTAAAAGAGTTTTAGAGGATCATTTCGTCTGGCCCAGTATGATGACATCGATTGTCTCGTCTTCCCACTTGTCTTATCATCGCACGTTGTCTGTTTCCGTGCATGTTTGGTCGCTGCGAGGTGTGGAGTCGTGATTCTGGTCCACTATACCACCACGAAGCCGCCGAGACTCTGTGGGTTTCCCATCGCGACTCATGTTTTTTGCTATGAACAATAAATGATGTATTTCACTGCACTAGTCCCAGGGGCAAGATACACTAGAACAATTCTCTCCTTCTGGAATTCTACTTGAAACTTTGACATTAAGAATCGTCGATAGTGCCTTTGGTGGCCATTCTCAAATTCTCGATAGGGCGGTGCCTTTTCGGGCTTAAGGTGAGATTGGAATTAAGACGGCGGAGTGTCCGGGAGCGCCGGTCCGCTCGGAGTGGGTCTCGGTCCGAGAACATATGACGTCGAGTCTGGATAACTGGGTGCTAAAGCATATTCTCCCCTATAACTTATCAAAACATGATCCAGAAATTAAAATTTTTATACCCTGCTAGACATAGTCCCGTGGTGATAGCACGGTGGACCATTTACAGTCCTCTTGTGTTTAAATGATGCCTTGCGTCACAACATTCTGAAGAGTTCTCACTCGGTAGATTACAAGACTCCGAGTCCTGGCCTGACTCGTGTGCCGACACATTGTTCCCGTGATGTTTAGATCCATCTGTCATGAGGCTCCGGGAGGGACGAGGATCGGAGAATCCCCCTTTCGCCAAGACTTCATTTTCATCAGAACGTGGACGAGGATCGTGTGTTGAGCTTCCGATCCCTGAGTATTAGTGAGGCGATTCCAAGTTTCTATCATTCGATACAAGGTTTGTTTTTTCAGCTCGGATGTGTTGCTGCAGTGAAATGAGGACCCTTTTCTTTTTCTCCTCTTGAACCAACCAACAACTCGGCCGAGTTACATTCTACACCGTTACACGTCACATTCAAAACTTGCAGAATACCTGGAGAAGGCCATCCATTCTCTTGGTAAACCTAAAAGATGAAATGTCGAATTCCAGAAAAACATGTCTGAGATGGTTGCATCTAGCAGCTAAGAACCACTGTTTTCTCATATCAAATTCCGAATCAAGGCGGAACGATCCCTTGACCCACTGATAGATAAGTGCCGTGAGGCTCCCAGTGGGTCAAGTCATGCACGGTCTCGGTGAGGCGGCACCTGTGGATCCTTGAGAGATCTTCCTTGGCGGGCGACCATCGGAGGGGTAGGGATGAGTGCAGTGCACGCACTAGGTTAGTGAAAAGCTCCCTTCCATACGGGTTCCAGAGAATCTTTGGGCGCAAATCACCTGGTGTTTTTCTTGTCTAGGCGAGATGTGATGACGACATTGTTTGGTGATGTGGCACTAAGGGGTTGATGAATTTTCAAAACATCGACAGCACTGACTAGCGTTTTAATGCTAAGGGCTTCAGATCGAGATATGAAGTGCCTGGCGTATTACTTGTAGTTAGTTATACGAATCACAATAAGGCTGTATGAGCCTTAATGGGACTCTTTGAGCTTGATTTTGTGAGATAGCAAATTCGTCTTCGCTTCCATGGGAAGAACTGCAAAGGCTTTTAAATTTCGATAAGCTCCTAGAGGAAGGAACTAACTAAATGGCTTAATATGTTTTTTGTAAGGCTAAAAGATTTAATACTTTCAACTACCATCTTGTTAATTGTCCATATCTAAGAATTTACTCCGAGTTCATAACAGTCCTTCGATGTTATCTTTGTTATCGCCATTCCAATGTCCCAACTCAACTGCTTACCCTAGAACGGATAATTTGAGGGTGCTTACTGAAGCTGCTGTAGAAGCTTGTTTCACCATTACTGAAAGCCTTAGGGGCCCTATATAAATCATGCAGTGAAGCAATTCATCCCGCACGATATTTCGAGGGGCGGTAATCGCGCATCTCGCTGGCATCAGTCGATCAGTGGGGAGATCACATGATCCCCACTTCCTAGCAGAAACCATAAAACCAATATGCTCAACAACCCCTCTTCAACAACATCAAGCCATATCCACACCCGCATTAAATCAGTCAAAATGGTCTACACAATCGTTGTCCACCTCTACGCCAAAGACGACGAGGAATCCCTCAAGAAGCTTACCGCCAAGCTCATCGAGGCCAGCCGCGTCTACTCCCAGGACAAGGAGACCCTCTCATGGCACGTCATGCAGTCCACCGCTGACCGACGGGCTTTCACCATCGTTGAGCGCTATGAGCAAGAGAGTGTAAGTGTATTATCTGATGAGGAGCTTGGATGCGTGCTGAAATTTGTTGCAGAGCCAGAAATATCATCTTGAGAATCCCTACTGGAAGACCTTCGACCCTTACGTCATTCCCCTGCTAGAGAAGCCTATGGACTTGAGAAGATTTGAGGAGCTTGATACTAGCAAGGACGTCGAGGTTCCTCAATAAATGAAATTGAGTCAATTGAATACAAATTGAGTTGCTAGAACAAAATTCAATACTTAAATACTGTTTCTCCAGTTATCAATCTCATCCTGCAAATGACTGAGTAGAGTTGCTTGATATCCCACATTAAACGTTTAATGCCTTCAAAATTACCACAGATACAACAAAACTCACTTGCTCGCCTTGAGCGCAGGGTAATTCGGTAACGGCCACCCTGCCTTCTCCTCACTCGAAAACCTTGAAATAAGATAGGGGATCCTTAAAAGACATACAAACCAAGCAATCCACTGCAGGATCGTAACACCCAATTGAGTATCAGGTATAGCCCACCGAATAAGCCCAAGCTTGATATTCTGAACATCGTCAACAAACGGTCGCAGCACTTTGTCGTAGTTCTCAAAAGCCAAGGATAAGTTCTCAGGGTTCTTTTGAATCTCACCCGCTAGCACGTAAGCACCGATGAAGCCGAGCGTAGTTCCCATGCCGCTGAATGGAGAGGGACAATAAGCTGCGTCGCCTATGAGAACCACGCGGCCTTTGTGCCAAGTATTTGTCTGAACTTGGACAACTTCTTGAGAGTAAAAGTTCTCGGTTGTCTTCATGCCCTCCAGGAAACGATCTGTCTGCCATCCTGCACCTCGAAACCTTCGTGCCCAGAACTCTTTCTGCTGCTCGACTGAACCTCTATGGATGCTGGAGATTTCAGGAGAATCGTCTTTGAGAATGAGATAAACTTGCGTCTCGGTTGAGTTGTGCGTTCGACGAAATATCATGCGACCTTGCGAACCTTGATATGTCCTGCGAATATTGCTATCTCCTTCCTCACGTGGGATAAAGTAATACGCCATGTGAATACCGAGTTTTCGATAAGGATCCGGAGCATCAGCTGGCTCGATTGCTTTCCGAATTCTTGAGCCCTGACCATCTGCTCCAACGAGGATATCAAAAGTGTCCGAGGTCCCATCAGAGAAGTGGGCAAGTATGCTCTTCTCATCTTGCTCAAATTTCTCAACAGTTTTGTTAAAAACATACTCAGCATCGTCCTTCGTAGCATCATACAAAATTCTCACAAGGTCTCCCCGCATTATTTCGAACTCAGATGTGATAGACTGTGCACCCTTGCCTGATGTATTGGCGAGCACTGTTCCCAAGACCTTTCCATTGGTATCAATGAAAGCAACGCCTGCTTCATCAACTAGTTTGGCTCGTATCTCGTCCATAAGGCCCATTACTTTGAGAGTTCCAATGCCTTGTTCACGAAAGTCGATTTGTGCTCCAGTTGCGCGTAGGGCAGGAAAGCGCTCGACGATGGTTACATGGTGCCCGAGACGGGTGAGCCAGAAGGCCAAGGCTGGTCCGGCACAACCGCCTCCACATATCAACACTTTCAGCGGTGCCATTGGAGTCAAGCGGAAGTGTTTAGAACAATTTGTATAAGTTGTTGTGTTCTTCAAAAAGTTCCCACTTTTAGTAAGTTTAGGTGTTTGTTCTGCAAAGTGTGTATTGGGTCAGAGAGTCGACGAATGAGTTATCCTAAAGAATACAGAGCAATTTCATGTGAAAATGAAGGAACTGTGGCTTTTTTATACACGTCTGTTGGCACGTAACGAATCCTTCGACGGCTCATATACGCAACACGACGGATATGCGGCATCGCCAAACCAGCCAATGACATCATAGACAACAACACCTCTAGTTCTTCATTCAGCGGAAGTTAGCCCGAGCTTACGGTGCGAAAGCTTTGAGGCTGGGAAGGCTTGCGATAATTGAACGGGTAAGTTATTCAGGCGGATTGAGCCACTCAGCATCACGCCATGATTGGTAGCCGTGTACCTATTAGGATCAGAGGTTGCGCGATACCCGTGTCTGGCTTATGACCGTTGAGTCTGTAAAGCAAACCTTATTATCAGATCATATAATACACAGGAATTTGAGTGGCTCTTTTTAGTTTACCGTGTTTTATGATTGTAAGACCGGCGGAAATAATGTCATAAGCTGGAGATGAGACAGAGAATACCCCATTTCTCAAGCGTGATTATAAGCATAATACAGACACATCTTATTACTAATACTTTTGTTTGAAAGAGAACCAAGGAATGGCCGCTATGATAACCAAAACATGGTTGAGTGCCAAGCACCACTTGCATCTCGGACGTTGCACCCGAAAATCTTCATATGCGGGGTTATTCGACCACCTCCAACTTCGTAACATCCTCTAACCTTGATAGAAACGCGACCTTTCTAGCTTCCCTTATCTCTAGGTTTTTGAATCACTATGGCAAAAAAGATCTGGGAACAAGTTGTTGCGGAAAAGCGACGACAGCGGGCCCATGCCATCTCTACTTTTGCCAGAAAGAACTTATCAGGAGATGAGGACCGACAGGATGCTTACAAGGCCATTACTGAAATCGATGACATCAATGTCTTAGCTGGCATTGTTTCAAATGGGAAATTCACGAGTGAAGATGTAACCCTGGCTTATATCACACGGAAAGTCGATCATTGAATCCTGCGAGAGATATATGCTAACATATCGCGTGACAGAGCCATTGAGGCGCATAAGAAGGTACGCTCTTCTGCTAAACGAGTTGAGGTCAGACACAGCTAACTGAGTATCAGACGAACTGGTGAGCCTCTCCTGTGGATTCTTTCGGTTGCGCAGCTCTGATAGTCCCACAAGCTTAACTGAAACCCTCTTCGATGATGCTTTGGAACAAGCCCGAGAACTCGATGCATACTACACAAAAGAAGGGAAGACGAAAGGACCCTTCCACGGCGTTCCAATAAGTCTGAAGGATCAGTTCAATGTCAAAGGTTGCGATACCACTCTTGGATATACAAGCAAGGCCTTCAAGCCGGCCAAAGATGATGCCGTCCTAGTTAAGATCTTGAAGAAGCTAGGCGCCGTGATCATTTGTAAAACCAATCTCCCACAGAGCATCATGGCGAGTCTTTAAAAGCAATAGTATCGGTCCTTGCTAACGTGTATAAGTGGGCCGAGACTGACAATCCTCTTTGGGGATTGACCGAGAACCCGATAATACCCGGGTATACGCCTGGAGGTTCTTCAGGCGGCGAATCGGCGCTGATATACTCTCATGGAAGTCTCGGAGGTTTCGGGTCAGATTTGGGTGGTAGCATTCGCATGCCGGCTTCTATGATGGATCTGTATGGTTTCAAGCCAAGCGTGCGTTGATTCACTATTCTCGGAATATCGCTAACCTGATATAGAACTCGAGATTGCCATATGGAGGAGTACCAGTCTCAACCGATGGACAAGAGCACGTCCCATCATCTATCGGCCCCTTAGCACGCTCCCTCTCGACCATTTATCATCTTACAAGAGAAATTACACTCCAAGAACCCTGGAAACAAGACTGTCGTTGTGTTCCGATCCCATGGCGTCAGTCTGAATATGACATGACCTTGAACAGCAAGCTAACAATCGGCGTCTTGTATGATGACGGCGTTGTGAAGCCTCATCCGACTATCGTAAGAGTTATCGCAGAAGCTGCAGCTGTACTTGCAGCCGATGGTCATGAGCTTGTAATGTGGAAGCCTGACTTGCATGCTCAGTGCATAGAAGTTATGGATGCCTACTTCACAGTCGATGGAGGAGAAGACATTCGTCATGATGTTGAGGCAGGAGGCGAACCTTTTATCCCGAGTGTGGAGAGACTTGTGAACCGTGGGAAGCCTATATCGGTGTTTGATTATTGGCAACTCAACAAACGCAAGCGAGAGCTCCAGCAAGCCTATCTTGAGAAGTGGAACAATACCCACTCTAAAAAGGGCAAGACTGTGGATGCCATTATAATGCCGGCTCTACCACATGCAGCTGTACCTCATAACACTGTCAAATGGGTGGGGTACACCAAGGTCTGGAATCTTTTGGATTATACAGCTTTAGTCATTCCTGGAGGGAAGGTTGAAGCTAAGGATCTCGATGCTATATGGGACCATGAGCCAAGAAACGAGCTGGATGAGTGGAATACTCGCCTTTGGGAAGATCATCAGGATGATATGCTTAAACATCATCTTCCCGTGGACATTCAAATCGTGGGGCGAGTATTAGAGGAGGAAAAGGTTCTGGCCGTTGGAAAGGTCTTGGATGATCTCCTGCGAATTCATCTACTCGAGGGATGAACTCTGAGGAATTCTTTACGATACATATTCTCCAACTAGCATGAAAAAAGATACGAGAATTATTCCCGAAGGTCGTCTGACTCGCCCCTAAACTAAACACTGTTCTATGTCCCTTGTCTCAACTATCATGCATTTCAGTGATCAGTCCAACGAACACCACCAACACCGCAGCATAAGCCGCTGTACTCGACATAACCTCCATCAAACCCGTAAAATACACAGCAGCCATTAATCCAAAAACAGCAACAAACACCGTCGTCGAAACCAAAGCTGTGTAGAGAGTATTATGTAAAACCATCAGCCACATCGGTGCGATGAGAAATATTCCACATACGGCCGCCACAGCAAGTCTTTGATGAAAACCTAACGTCCAGTTCCGCTGATAGTTATCCTGTCTTGTATCTCGGATAGATTTTGATCCGCTAGGCCCTGTGTGCCAAGGTCCGATAGCAGGAAAGACTTTCTTTCCTTCAAATCGGTATGCCTCATTTCCGATGATGGTTTCAAGGAGTTCGCGCTGCATTCAGCTTCACATTTATTGGACGCGATGGCATCCACGGCACTAGGCAGCGATATAACACTGCCAAGTATGGAGACTGCACATGGCTGAACGGTAAATAAACATTTGAAAAAAAGCGCAACATTATTTCCATAAAGCCTTTCTATCTCTACCCTCGCCTTGCATCATTAGTCTTACATATATATATTTCCCTTTAAAAAAGAACAACGAATTTTCTGAACCAAAACAAGTTTCAAGGTTGCATCAAACCATGTCATACGCCAGGTGTGTCGTGACTCCTGATCCAACCATACCATCAACCCTGGGCCTCCAGTTTTCACATACAAAGTACGCCAAACTTTGCGCCATGTTCCTGAACAAGAAAATCCGAGGGACCGATAGTTGTAACTTCGTATACGACCAAATTAAGGCAATCAACATGAGTTTCACCATCTCGTGGACCAACGAAGGCGATGACTTTCTCTTCGAAAATGGGCAAGGTGCTGTGTTTTGGGAACGCGTTATTGGCCTATGCATCACTATATTGCCTCTGCGGATGCGTATTACAAAAGAGCTAGAATGGACCACGTTTAAAGAGAGGCTTGAAATTTCCGATGAAGAGTGGTCGGAAGCTTGGGATGTTGCGGTTCTTGATATGCCAGAGAATACCCCTCTTGACGACGATATCACGACAGTCGTTCAGGAGGGCGCGAAGATAATGAGGAGTATCACTCGGCTCGGTTCACGGTTTAGTAAACGATTTCGATTTCCGAGGTTCTCAAAGAATGAGAAGAAGGGTCAGGATGGCGAGGTGGCAAAGGAAACTACTGCTGCTGCTTGGATCTCATAACGAATTTTATCATTTCTAGTATTATTTATACAGCATATCTGTATGTTGATCCTTTCTATCTATGATTTAACCTTGAGAACAAGGCCAGTTTTAGAGATACGGGAAGCCACTGCCATGAAGGCCCCCAACAAAATAGAAGAACCAGCAAACATCTGAGGTCCAATATAACTGCCGTTACCAGCTTTGATAAGTTCGCCACAGATAAATGGACCTGTAAGATTCGCAATACTGACAATACCCAATATCATTCCAACTCTTGTCCCAGTCTTTCGTGGATCAGGTGCCATTTGTGTTGCAACAGCTGGAAACAGAGCTTGTAGTGCTGCAGCGATGAATCCGTATATCACAGCGAAGACATACAGGCCTGCTGCAGTCTCTATAGCTGCCCAACAATAGACCAACAGGCTTGAACATATGCTTAGAGGTATGAGTAAGTTGAAGGGTCCTGTCCACTTATCTGCAATGATATTCGGCATGATACGTCCAAAGATCCCAACACCGTTCAGAATCATGAGTAGATAGATGGGCTCGGATATACCAGCTTGATCGCGGGAAAAGGTTCCAAGATAGAAGAATGCAAAATAGAGACCCCAGAAATTGAGAAACATGCTCATGGTAAAGAAGATGAAGGGCAGTTCCTTAAAGGCTGCCGTATCGATCCATGGGCCGCTGGGGTGAGGCGGTAGTCGAGGCTTGAGCCATAAAAGACAAGGAATATATGTAGCAAGCATGATGAAGCCCATGCTTCTGAGAGTCCAGGGAAAGCCGACATTATCGTGGAAGATAAGCCAGTTGATTAAAACTGGGTATACTAAACCACCAACAGCTGCACCAGCGGCCGCTAACCCAACAGCAAAAGCCCTATACTTCTTGAAGTACTGTGACAAAACAGCTAGAGCCGGACAGAACGTGAAACCGTTGCCTATTCCAAGGCAAACAGCTTGAGCGAGGAATATTTGCCAGAACGTCGTGCATAACGACGTCATGAACAGTCCAAGCACCTGCAAGAAGACACCGAGCGGAAAGATGATCCGAAAGTGGCCAGCATCCGTCAGTCTACCAGCTATAACTCCAATAGAGAATAGGAAGAACACTTGGACACTTCCTATCCAAGATATCGTGGACTGATCTTCTCCGAGAGTTTGGGTGTAGTATTGTTGAAAGATTCCGAAGCCGTTTGCGACACCCCAGGTGTTGAAGAAGACGATGTGGGCTAGAAGGGCTTGCAGCCAAGCATTGAAGCCTCCGTCTGGTGGTTCGTCGTGTGTCGGTGTCTTTTCAGCTTGATTTTGTTTGGTTTGGTTTTCGACATCAGCCAGTGTCTCTGCACCAGAGACAGAGTCTCTGTCTTGGTTGAGTAACATTGGAATATGGTACTGCAAGTCAACAGTCGAAACAAGACTTCGACTTGCAAGTCTTTCAGAAAACTCAAGAAGTTAATCCTGATTGATGAAAATCCTTAGACAAGTTTATAACAAGTTAGGGTAATCTAGGATGAGTTTAGTTATTTTCTTCAACTACGTCAAGCTCCGATCACTTACACCGCTATTACCGATATTCCCGAGATAACCGACATACCCGCTCGGCCCGTAAGAACCGACCCTCGCAACTTCACTTCACATGCATGCATTCATCCCCTTACACATCACAATCCTTCAATTCCCATTGCAATACCAAACATGTCCACTTCTCAAGGCCGTAAGCGCTCAAGACTCGCCTGTGAAACATGTCGGGATTTAAAACGGAAATGCGACGGCGCTCAGCCCTGCGGAGCCTGTGTCCGTTTTGAGTACGACTGCGTCTACAAGACTTCTTCGAACAAGAAGAGGAAGACCCATGAGGCCTCACTTCTTCCCTCACCTCCTGTTCATACTGAGAAGGAGTCTAGACCTTCGAGGAGTGATCATGCTACGTCACCAAGGCATTTGCAGTCGCTGGAGGCGAATTCTGGAGCGGCGTTTCTGAGAAGGTTGGCGTTGAGGTTGGATCCTAAGAATGCGCCGAGGATGCACACTTTTTCATGGAATGCCTTTCTTGGAGCACGGAAGTCTTCCCATGTTCCTGTTTCGAGACCGATCACAGACCTGCTGTCCAAAGAAGATATGGAGAGCTTGAGTGCCGTCTACTTTCAAAAGATGGATCCCATTTATGGTTTCGTTGATCGTGACAATATCTCACAGACCATTCAAGGCAGATGGGCTGGTTATATATACGATCAATCTCAAGATGCTGTTCTATGCGGTATAGCAGCGATAGGATGTTTATTCTCTCAAGTTGAGCCTCCTCCCGTGGAGCTTGACTTGATAGAAACAGCACGGTTCATACTCGAGCAGAAGATGTCCGATGACCCATCTGCTGCTAGTGTCACGGGTTGGCTTCTCCGAGTGGTGTATCTGAGAATAGCTGGAACACCACATACAGCATGGATGGCCAGTTCAGTTCTTATGCACATGCTCGAAGCAGCGGGCCTGCATTGTGAACCATCACAAGAATCAGTCCTTCCAGTAACAGAAGAAAAGGTCGACGCCGAGCTTCGGAGGCGTCTCTTTGCTGTCGCCGAGCATCTTAACATATGGATCTCTTTCGACATGGGTCGGTCCAGAACGATACTATGCAATTCAACACTGGAAATGCCATGTTCGAGAGAAGGAGACTATACCCATGAACTTATGGAGTTGCTCCCATATTCAACGGAACTTGACCCCAATAAGACGCAAGACGTTTCCGAGCTTGAGACTTCACTGTCTACCGTCTTAAGCCGAACCCATTCTGTTCCACCATCTATTATGGCACAGACCAACCTCGCTTTATGTCTCTGCCGTCGACTTCAGTCGATGAACACGACGTTCTCAGGAAAGGTCCTCGACCAGATTCTCTCTATCACAAAAACAGGCATTGAAGCAGCTCAAGCTATTTTAGATGCTCGTTCACCATGGCATCATATGGCCAATGTTCCGTTTCAAATTATCTGTGTTCTACTAGCCATTGACACGGGCGAATCAATAGTTCAGCTCAAGGATGCGATGCAATGTTTAAGTAACGTTGCTACTGTGTATAACACCAATGCTACGAAAGAGGCTCTCAACACGGCTTCTCTGCTTATACTAATGCAACAGCGGCGCAAGGAGAAATGTGCGTCAACGTTGAGTGATGTGCTGAAAACCTTTCCTATCGTTTCGCTTCCAGAGACGCGAGATGAGACTCCTGTTCAAGATATGGATGATATGAGGTGGCTGAATAACTTGGTTGGTGATCTTTCCAGTTTCGACTATGCTGATTTGGATCGATTTCTCTTCCCGAACATGTTTTGATCAGGCAGACTTTCTGTCGTTTTTCAATGTAAAAATATGATATCCATGTACTCTACAGTCTTTCAACTCCCCCACTGTATAATCTACTTCTTTCGATACCACATCCTCGAAGCTCTTTGACTCCTGATCTTCCTCTGCAGCTGAAACACGCCATACATCAAAGCCTCAGCAGTAGGTGGACAGCCAGGAACGAATATATCTACCGGCACAATGCGATCAACTCCCCTAACAACGCTATAGCTGTAGTAATAGTACCCTCCCCCATTCGCACAAGATCCCATGCTGATGACCCAACGCGGCTCGGGCATCTGATCGTAGACTTGTCGCAATGCAGGAGCCATTTTGTTTGTGACAGTCCCTGCGACGATCATTACGTCTGACTGTCTGGGGGAGGCACGGAAAATGATGCCCAGACGGTCTTGGTCGTAGCGTGGCATTGAAACGTGCATCATTTCGATACTGCAGCAAGCGAGACCGAAGCTCAATGGCCAGAGGGAGCCAGTGCGGCCCCAACTGGCTATCTTATCCAGCGTCGTACTTTATTCCAGGCCTTCTTAGCTTCTTGTTCTCATAATGGCACGGGTTTGAGTACGTACAGGGCATAGTCGACTAGGTTGCTTGGCTTAACATCGGCGAGCGAAGCTGGGTGCGCACTGGGGGCTATATCCTTAGTCGCCTGGGAGGATTTTTTCCGTCTCTGATAGTCAAATCGGTTCTCTGTTGTTCTTTGGACTTGGGAAGCTTTTTGTGGAATCGTTGGAATGGCTGTAATGGAGAGAGGCCGAGCTATAGCTAGACAATAGTGTAAGTCGAGGTAGATAAGCTCTTTAGAGTTGTTACTCACATCTTGCCAATTGTAACCGATTCATCTTGACATATATCGTATAAGTAAACAAATAGAACTTTCTAAGAAATGAGAAAGACAAAATCAACAGTGCTGCTGGCTCTATAAGACCTTTCCCCGGGGTTCAGGTCGGAACGGGAATTAACCACATGGCCCCACTTATTGCTGTTCGCCCTCGGAAAATTCCCACATGACCCAACTTCAACCTCTTTCACTCACGTACCTTTCAAATGGCGACTCCATATCAGGCCCCCGCATGTCCCGTATGTAACAAACCTCTACCCATCAGTCAGAACGAGTGTCCATTCTGTCAAAAGTCCTTCCGCAGGGCTGATGTCGCTCGTCGCCATGCCCGCTCTTGCAACGCCCGACAAGGCCAGCCCCTCCCATCAAAAGCCAAACGGGGCAGAAAGCTTCGAGCTTGCGATAACTGCTCACGAGTGAAGGCTTCTTGTAACTCGGAACTTCCTTGTCGTCGGTGCTCAGCTCGTGGCATCGATTGCATTTACAGTTCACTATGTCATGACCCTACACATCGAGCAACTTCCAAACCAAGGGAAGTCTCCAAGGATAATCGTCCTAGCCTCTCTTTTCTGCTACAAGCTAGCAATCCAATTCATGACTCTATGGATGCCATTGTTGCTCGAGAGCCGGAAAGAACTTCAGAGATGCCTGCTTGGAAACAACGTGAGACGGAGACGGTTGATTGGAGCTCTAGGACAGTCGATCCAAGATTTCTTCTCTTGGATCTATCGGACATGCTTCTCGATGAGCCTCATGACTATGAAGATACAGAAAACAATACTTTACAGTTCTCTGGTATCTTTGGTCCCTCTACCGCGTCGTTCGACATTTTATCGACACGAATAGCCACTCTGTCAAGCATCCTTCAAGGATTGACTATCAACAAACCTCATCTCAGGGAGGGACTTGACCAAAGTTTTCAACGAGGTTTCTTTACAACGTCTCACTTTCAACATGTTTTATTCCTCTTCTTCCGCCGGAGACACTACCATAAAGATACGATACACTGGCCAACATTTGATCCTGAAAAGGTTTCGCTCCACCTGCTACTAGCTGTGGTGTTGACTGGAACTGTATATCTGCAATGCCTTGATCAATCGGCTCCCTCATATATCAGTACACCTCTACTAGAACTAGCAGAAAAGTACGTATACAGGGAGCTCAAGAAACTATCAGATCAGGACATCAGCCCAGTCACGTCACAACACATGCTTGAAATATGCCAAGCTGCCGTATTGATGAATACTCTCGAAGGCAGTGCAAACCATATCGAGGCTCGTCGAAGAATAGCGAGTAAACGAATTCCAACGCTCGTCGCGACGTTGAGAAAATCAGACATGATGAGTCTCATACATGAGTCAGATGAAAGCTGGGGGGAGTTTGTTCACCGAGAGACATGTATAAGGGTCGTTGCATGGACTTCTATGAATGACTCACTACTGGTGCTCTTCTGTAACCATCCACCCGTCATTACATCAAAGGAGATGACTGGGGATCTACCATGTCGGAGTGATATTTGGGAGGCAGATTCAAGCATGGTTTTTCAAGAAAGGTCACAGCATAGCTTAACAAGGTCTTATCCTTCAAGCTGCAATGAAGCAATAGCAGGAATACTTTCTGAGAAATGGACTCCTGCAATAAGAGAGTCCTTTGGAAAGTTAGACCATTCAGATCTCTTTTATCTCTCCTCAGGGACGTTGCAGCCCAATACAATCAATGAACGACATGTGCTGACTTTCACCAGGTCTTGGACGTCACATATTCCATTTTCGTACGTCAGTAGTATCACCTGATTATTCCAAGATGCTGCTACGTGCATTGGATAGATGGGACTCTCTTTGGGCCGATGCTTTTGAACGTATTCCAGAAGATGAGAGGAGGTGGCTCGGAATGGGCAAACACACTCCTGAAGTTATAGCATTGTCAAGGCGGACCATTGAGATCATCGAAACAGGTGAAGCAAAGGACTCAGCTTATCTTCAGGATATTGCATTTTATGACACGGCTGTCTTTCACGAATTCGTGCAGAAGTACGGATAGGAAAGCTCGGGTACAGCGAAGAATTGAAAGGCTGACTTCAGGCAACCTCCCAACCTAGGGGAGGCAAGAAAACTCAGGACCTCTATTCTAAGTGACAAAAAGATTTAGATGAGCTTAGTATAGACGTAGTGGGCCTTTAGATTAGTTGTTTATGGCACCTTAACTTTAGGTTAGAAGTTTTCTTGCTCCCCGAGGGCCAACTATCTACACTCACCTCAACTCTTCTCGGTAACGCCGAGTGATCATCAAAATCGTCTTCCCAGAAACCAGGCGATGATACAACCATTCATCGCCACCCAGCGACAACTCGTGATGTTTATATCCGCCCAGTCCCCGCCATCGGAGATGTACTGTAAACTCTAGTGCGCCAAGTCCTGGGCAAAAGCACGGGTGCCTGATCTTGGCTGAATGCTAAAATTCAGGCCGCCGATTTTTTTTTGGCTTCTAGAATGCTGCAAGCAATAACAATTGCACTGCACAGCCTCATGTGACAGACTGTCACTCTAGCATCATGCGGGGGCGCGGTGGCTATGGCGGAGATGCATCAAAGAACTAGAGAGGAAGGTCTCGTTGGAAATATGGAACGTTTTTAAGGCAGCCAAGATTGTGAGGTTAAGGCATACAGATCGGGGACTTCCAAATCGTGTAAGACCACGTGGTGATCAGTACGCATGGCCGCATCTGAAGTTTATTCTCCTCCGTCTCCGTCAATTATCCAGCCTTTGTATAGATACCATGCCTAGATAAATTGACAGTACCAGCTTCAGCCACATCTCTAATAAAAGCACTATTCAAAAATGAAAACATCTTCTAAGCTTTTGTTTAAACGAAAGCTTTGACAGTCACAGGCGGACTTTGGGCGTATTGGAATGTCGTAGCGAGATGTCTCTTCCAGGTGGGTTATTGAATCTGCCTCAGTGACAGCCTTGATCCACACTAAACAAGGATGTAGACCAATTAGAAATGTTATCGCCTGCATGTTGCGGCGCTGCAAGCTTAACCCCGACAAGCTTATACGCCCATGCCAACTTCAGGGTCTTTAATGTCACAGACCCACGATTGTCACTCTAATCATCCTTGAAACAGTGGTCAATTGGTAATGGCATTACCACAGAACCCAACAGATTATTGACCAGCATCAACATAAGAGAGATTTGCTGTTTCGCTAAATGAAGCTTGTGTTTGGATTTGGATTAAGGCTGGGCCAAGGCATTCGGACCTTCATTCCGTTCTTTGTCTCTTGATATGCGCCTCTGTAATGCAGCAAATCACCACAAACACGACCAAAGTAATTACACCGCTGTGAATGGTTCCTCTGGCTAAGCCACTTTGGTAGGGCTGCTTTTTGTCTCCCCCAAAACAACAAAAGTCAAAGCACCATTTTGGCTAAGGGCTAATTTGTTTTCAGAGATTGGCTTCTTTTCAGCTCGTCAGAGCTAAAAACGCCAGAGACCAATACTCCTTCCGCTCCCTGTGGTGATTACCTCGCTAGAAGAGAATATAAAGAACACAATTCTTCCTGCCTTGGCAACTTCCTTCTTCTCAATCAGTCATCATCTCTAACGAGTTACCAAAACCGGTCTTCCAGTGACCTCATTCACAGCTCAGCCAAGACATCGCCTGTTCTTGTTGTTTTTAGCGGTCGATCTTCGCCCCCAAACCTTCTGGAACAGAGCGACATCATCATTCTGTTTACCTCATTCGCCCCTTAAGCTCATCATAGAAGTCTAACCCCGTGATCTTCTGTCATTGTTGCCTCCGTCACAGCCTCCGAATCTAGAAGAGAAAACTGTACGCCTTGTGGATCCTTGCAAGCGAACCCCGTCATCAATTCAGTCTCACCCATCCTCAATTCGGATTTCGGGTATTAAACCTTGGAACTGCCCACTTTAGACTGTTCCGTCTAATTACATCCCCAAACTCAAACTCACGACTTTTTTAGTTTCTCGTCTGTTTGACATCTTTTGATCCGAAATCTCTTGGTCTTTGTTTGACTCTGGTTTCTAATCCACAATCGACACTTCTTTGTTGCAACTCGCCTATACCTACCTGCATCCTTTCGTCATTCCAAAACAACTTGGCCCACAATGAGACCAGACTTCGCAGTCGTACTATTCACACTCATCACATCAACGGTCGCGTCAGCCGTCGATGTACCCCGGCACATCAAGCGCATCGAGTCTGAACCCAGCGCCGATGAGCACGAGCTTTACAAGCGTCGTGGCGGCGGTGGTGGTGGTGGACGCGGTGGTTCCAGCGGCGGAGGTTCAAAAGGATCATCTGGCAGTGGCAGCAGAGGTGGGAGCTCCCGTGGAAGCAGTGGAAGCGGCAGCAGTCGCGGAAGCAGTAGTAGCGGCAGTGGTTCAAGAGGCTCATCATATCGTCCAGGTTCATCAAGCAGCGGTGGCTCCGGCGGCGGCGGCGGTTCTCGCGGCGTCGGTCCTCAGCCCAGCTTCGCAGGCGGTCGATACTACCCCGGTGGTTCATCAAGACCTTACAGGTCCGGCGGCCGAAGTCCCGGAAGCATTGCGCCCTACGCTCTAGGCGGTGCCGCTCTGGCATTCTGGCCTGGCGTTTGGCTCTACGGTGCATACATGTATCCTTACTCGCATACCTACCATTATCACAACGAGACCAGCGATGAGGACGAGGAGCGCGATGTCCTCTGCGGATGTTCGCGATACGAGTACTGCGCATGCGACGACAACAACAGTACCGAATACTTCGACGAACTCATCGGAAACGGAAGCTACGACGCACTTAACAAGTCCATCGTCAATGTCGCAGAGGTCAACGGCACAATGACAATCCTCATCAACGGAACACTGCCCAACGACACTGCCCTCCCCGACGAGGATGCATCAGACAACGTAGCAGTATCAGGACGATTTATTGCCGAGACAGCGGGTTGGTGGCCTGTAGCCTTCATAGTCATGGTGACAGTCTTTATTACCTAGACGGTTTTCTTGCTTGTCTTTTCTTCTATTGCAGCGTTACGACGTGCTAGGCGTCGCCGGGCAGCCCGGGCAGCTGCCCAGCCGCAAGATTAATGAGTTTATGGGTTTCACGGTGTTATTGACGGCGTTGATACCCAACTGGGAGGATTCTTGTGCTGTTAGAGGGTGGCATTGTTGCTTTCAAAATTCTTGTACTTATTATTGTTATTGAAGCATCGGGTATTCATCATACACTACGCGACTGATGGAAGCTGTTAGAAATACACTGTATCCTTTTCTCAATCCCCATCAACAATGCATCATTCGTGACTGTGTTCAGCAGGCCTCAGTGTGACGTCCACAACATCTGTGGAGGGATACAGTCAAGGCAGACTTCCTTCCTGGCATCATCCCTGCGCGAGTTGACATCACCGCCCAACTCAATGGCTCTCGAGACACCTATGGTGCCACGATCTTCAGACCGGTGTTTCCAAAACTCGCTCGACGTTGAGATAAATGATTGGGGGCCGAAAAGGATTATGCTTTTTGTGGAGGATTTGATCTATGCAATGCTGCCCTGTCATGATACTCCCCAATCAGGAATTCGCCGAGTTTTTGCGTCATTTAGGATTACCCATCGAATCATATTTGCGATTTCTGATATTATAGAGTGTTAATCTTGCGTTACAGAGGGTTGGTCTTGTGTTGTAGAGTGATGGTCGGGTATTATGGAGGGTAGATTTCGCAATGAAAGCTTGTTTTCGTATGGGCGCTGTATCTGACCAAATTGAGCTGTGTTTTTGGGGATCGTTTGGAACAAGCGAGAGGTTGGGGGAATTGGGGGGATCGTAAATTGGAAATTGGAAATTACAATGACAGATCATAGCGCTTATGTATGTTTAACCGGTTTGAAGGGAGGTGTTGAGATAGCGGGCGCAGTAGCAGGTTGTTCAATCTCACCTTCACTATAATTCTTGTTCGTGCTTTGTGGCCTAAGACGTCTTATCGTTGGTGCAACTGATACCATGAGTAAGGTGATAGATGATTCTCCATCTTTGACCGAGTAGTGACCAGTCTCCATCCCTCATCTTGGCTGATCAAGCCTCCGCGACGACCACGATGCTCTCTGTAATGCTGGATAGTAATTACAGCCCTCACAATTTCCATAGAAATAATATGTCCATGCACTTTACCCTTTTCACTAGACTTTAACATCAGTAATAAATGTGTCACTTCAGAATCGTGAAGTGTCAAGTGGTGTTTCGGCTACCCGGAACCACAAGAGATGGGTGAGCCTGGAACAATGACTCGTTTCAATTACGATATAGGGACTTGACATATATTTCATGTAGACCTTTTACAGCATTCTGTTGCAGGGAGACTACGGAGTCTTTTCGTAGGATTGTGTAGTGTCTTCAAAACGCAACCCCAGTATCAGCCTGGCCAGTTCCTAATCATTCATCGTGAGTTTGATACGGCTATTTATCGACTAAACCAAAGATGGCAAGCAAACTCGCACTTCTCTCGAGGCCTGAAAAGTGCAAATCATCTACTCGCATTGTTAGATCAAATTGAAATGTGTTTTGGGGACATAGATGCACTTACTATAGGGCCGTCGGGAGCACATCGTGAGTTCCTGTCCATTTATGGTGGCTCAATAAGAGGCGCCCGATCCACGCAGAGTTGAAGTGGATATAAAGCCTTTCTACAATGCATTATAATATAAGACTCTAATAAATGTTTATATATCTTATGGTTCTTTTGTCCTTTGAAGTAGAGGCGGTTGGCAGTGGATCAGCTATTGATGCTTACACGGCCTTGAGCCTAAAAACGAACTTTGCGTCCACCCTTAACCCGTAACTGGAACACATGACAATTCGTGATTGCCATCGATACTTAATTCTAAGAGAAGTGGATGTTCTAGACTATGCTTTTACGTTTAGTCTAACAACGAGTCGAGCTTGTGGCCATGAATCACCTTGCATTGTGCATACTCATAAGCTGGCTGCGCTCTTGATCTGCTTTTTGCATAACATTATCCTCAGATACCTTATGCATTTGAGAATTTGATATTTTGAAGTTAGTTTCCCGACTACACATATTTAGGTTCTCGGTCTGGGAAGAAGCCAGTCGTGAGCCAGTGATTCACCCTCGTTGTTCAATATATTCCTGAGTTTGCTTCTGCGCAACTTGATTCTTTCAACATCTTGCATCAGCATCAAAGTATTTTATTGGCTCATCTTCTTAAAAAGTACCCATGGCATTGAACTCGATCTCGTTACAACTATCTTCTGCGCCTTGGCGACTCCATTTGTAAGTGCAATAATCATTTACTGGTACAATGACATTTCCTCACGACGTCTCCAGATTTTAACCTCAGTTTATACTATACAACTCAAGAACAATTCAATAAGGGATAGTGGTACAGAGATCGAAGCTGCTGTGAGGCTTCTTGTGCAAAATTAGAACACCAAAGTCAGTTTCCATTGAGCATTTACTCGATGATTGTTCCTTGTCGCGACAATGGTGTTGAAGTGGAGAATTGCACGCCACTCAACGCCGCCCCACCTCGGAATGAAAGCACTGGCCTTTCCGCTTCCTCCATCATATCCTGACGTTGATTGGCTGACTTCGCGCTCATTCTCAGGCTCACGGGCATCTTTCCTGGAGAACGCAACCGTGAACAACTCAGCTCAACGCAAACACGAATTACTCACCATCAATCTTCACACGACAGTCACGACTCTCCGAGCGGCGGGCTGTCATTAGCGACGCGATAAAATTATGATATAAGAATAACGACATTTCCGCGGCCTCTTAGCGATCCGATTTTACGATTGCGACACCGCGATCATGGCTGAAGAGAACGATTTCTCGTCCTTTGACGAGAACGCCTGGAAGGCCCAGGACGCCGCCGACGACCGAGAAATTGCGAAGCTGCTAGGAGACTCGCAAAACAACGGAGGCGGCATCATTCTCGATAATGTCGCGTTCGATCAGTCTGGCAAGGCGGATGATGCAGAGGATTACGAAGATATTAGTGACGATGATTTACCAGATGAGGAGGAGCCCAGCGCTGGTGTCTCTATGGAGATGCCTGGCCTCACTGACGATGGCGGTACCAGTCACGATCCAGATGATCTCTTCGGAGAGGGACCTTCTTCACCAGACCCAATTCTAGGTCCCTCTTCCCCAGCGCCTCACATTCGCGATGCCGATACTACCGACGACACCCAACCCCTCGATACGAGTCTGAGCTTTCCTGGCATCAACTTCGACCCAGAGCCTCATCTCGATAATCAAGATCCCGACATCCCCGCACCCGCCGAAACCGTCGAGGACCTTCTGAAAGCTACATGGCCTGCTTTCAAGAAGGGGCATGTCTTGACATGGAGCGAACTCCTACCAGCCAAGAAAGCAACATGGAAGGAGAAGAAACCCGTCAAAAAGCCTAAGCAGCTCGTCACCAGCAAACTCACACTTGAACTCGCTCCCGATCAAGAGAAGCTGTTCCGCATCCCGGGCACTGCAACCATCACCCGCAAACCTAGGCAGGGCGAGGAGAGAGGTTTGGTTTACTGTGGTATCGACCAAGAGGATCAAGCCGAAGATAATGTCCAGTTCGATCTCGATCAAGACTCCGATTCCGAAACGGTTGCTGGCTTCACCCTCCGTGATATTGAGCTTGCCTGCGAAGATTGGGGCGCCAGCATTGAGGCTATCGAAGCTGATTTCAAGGCTCGACAAACCGCCGAGCAGCAGGAACAGCAAGCACGGAAGCGAGTGTTTGAGGAGCAGGATGACGAATGGGATGCCGAGTTTCTCATGGACCTTGGCGACGACGGACCACCACGACCGAAGAAACGAAAGACAGTCAAGCTTGGTCTACCAGAGATTCCCCGCTATGCTGCCCCCTCGTTCGACAATTTCGAAGACGCTACCCGCAGAGGCGCCAAGAGGGTGCAACTGGATATGAGCGATCCTTACCTCCTTATCGAAACACAAGAAACCCAACGAAATGCAAAGCGACCCCGCACAGACAACAAGCTGAAGCGCATGGCAAACGGCAACCTCGGCCGCGATGTCTCCAACCGCTTCAACATCTCGAACGACGAGGCATACGAGGCTTTGAAGGAAAATCACCAAAGCAAAGTCCGCGCTACGCTCGGCAACATTTCTGTCGAACACAGCATGCCTGCTATCAAGCTCTCATGGCCGTACTACAAAGTTAAGCTCGGTGGTACGACAGATGAGTATCATCGTCCTCGCTTCAGGTACAAGAAATTTGCTGGCCATATCATCAAGTTTGACAAGCCTGCACACCAGAAGCGAAAGCAGATGAAGGGCAAAGCGCACGAAGTCTTCCTCAAGTCCAAGGATTTGAGTATCAACGACAACTCTACCGCTGTTCTTTACGAGTACTGTGAGCAACGTCCACGAGTACTCAGCAGCTTTGGTATGGGTAACCGCTTGATCAACTACTACCGCCGAAAAGACACAAACGAGGATGAGCAACTACCCAAACAAGAACTTGGAGAGTATCGTATGCTTCTGCCTGAAGATCGATCTCCCTTCTCCCTTTTTGGTACCGTTGACCCCGGTGAGACTGTACCAACATTACACAACGAGATGTACCGAGCTCCTGTCTTCAAGCACAACCCAAGAGGGAGTGACTTCTTGGTTGTACGCAGCACTACCGGAGAACAAGGTTCAAGATGGTTTCTCCACAAGATCGACCATCTTTATGTCGTTGGTCAGCAATTCCCTTCAGTCGAGGTTCCAGGACCACACAGTCGCAAGGTTACGAATGCCTCGAAGAACAGGATGAAGATGCTCGCGTTTCGCATGATAAGACATAGCGATACCGACAACTGTCAACTGTCCGACATAACCAAGCATATTGCCGACTCAACCGATACCCAAAATCGCCAGAAGCTCAAAGAATTCCTGCAGTACGACAGAGAGAGCGGTGAGAAGGGTATGTGGCGACTGAAACCTGGCGAAATACTACCTGATGAGAGTACGATTCGTTCCATGATTAAGCCAGAGGAGGTCTGTCTACTTGATGCTATGCAACTTGGTATCAAGGAGCTTGAGGACGCCGGATACGACCCTCGAAATGCTTCCCTTGATGAAGATGTTCAGAACAACGATGCGGATGGGGACGACGATGATGTCGAGGATGAAGGCAGCAAGATTGCCAAGGGCGCCAAAAAGCAGCAAGAGAAGCAAGAAGAAACTCTTGCGGACAAGATGGCCCCATGGAAGACAACCAAGGCTTTCATCGATGCATGCGCTCAAAAAGCCATGCTTCAACTTCATGGTGAGGGAGACCCGACAGGCCACGGTCTTGGTTTCTCCTTCATTCGAACCTCCATGAAGGGCGGATATATCGAGGCAGTTCAGGGACCGCTTGCTACATCTGCAGATGCTATGGAGCGTGAAAAGCGAGCTAATGGTGGCCACGCCTATAATGTCAAAAAGCAGCAAGCAATGTACGAGGAAGGTATTCGAGAAATCTGGGAGAAGCAAAAGACTACACTCTCAGATGGTCAAGAGCATGACGACAAAGATGTTGCAGTAACAGAAGACGAAGATGACAGATTCAACGTTCAGTCAGCCATGACTCCAGCCCAGTTCGACGACGGTACTAGCCAAATTAGTGGTTTGACTTCGGCAAGTCGACAGCAACGACGCGCTATTCGCATAACCCGAGAGATCCGAATGCCCGATGGCAGTACGCAAGACCGAGTCGAAGTCGTTCACGATCCGGTTGTGATTTCGCAGTATATGAAGCGGCGAACAGAGGCGGATCTTGAGATGAGAGAGTACGTGCACCCACCCAACTCGCGCCAGACAGTCCAGCAACCACAGAGCAGGGGAGCCGTGGCAAGAAAACGCCGACGAACTTACGGAGTCGGCACCCCTGGCTCAAGAAATGATATTGTTGGATTGGAGTTTAGAGCACCGGCTTACGTGTATCTTTCAACAGCATCTACAGCTCCCGTCCTACAGGCAATGCCGACCATGACCGTCTTGCAGGCATTAGGTACGTCTTATCCAGTCATGATGTGATGATCAATACTAACAATGATACAGAATCAAGAAGGAGCTCGAACGACTCGAGAAGAACAAAGCTCGAAGACAGGCTCGAGAACAGCAAAAAGAGCTCCACCAAAAAGCCAGCACAGGAGATGCCGGGTCACCCAGTGTCAATGGTGATAAAGTCCCAACTGGAACAACCCGCAAGTGTGCTAATTGTGGCCAAGTCGGCCATATCAAGACCAACAAGAAGTATGAGCCCCCATTCTCCATCATCGCTTCCCTTTGTTTCTCCCCCTCCCCCAATGTCGTTCAATTGGTGTGCACCTCTAGAGGCCGACAACACAAAGCGCAGTCGCTCGCGCAAGTCTCACTTACAACTAGCTATGGAACAATGCGACAAAGACAAGGCACGAGATGCCAGAAGGCGTGCTGAAGAAAAGGCGCGCGGGGACAAGGCAACCGCTCGTCAACTAGAACAGGAGCGGCGAGCGGCAGAGAAAGAAGCGGAGCGCGAGCGACGCAATGCGGCGGCCAAGCGACTGCAAGAAGAGCGTGAAGCCAAAGCCAAGCGGAATCAAGAGCAGCGAGCCGCTGAAGCCAAGCGACGTGAGGAAGAAAGGGCTCAGCGGAAGAAGGTCAAAGAGGATCTCCAGCGCCGTGCCCGAGAGCGAACAGCCCGCCAACAAGCGATTGCGCGTGCGCGACGTGAAGCTAAGCGCATTCGCCGTGCCCGCTGGACGCCCAGATGGCACTCTGGAGGTGGATGGAGTTGAGAACACCAATTCGTGCAACGACTACCACATCACATACAGCATTTCTTTTGTGGTTGATACGTCTTTTCAAAACTCTTTGCTAACTTGTTCCTCAAAGGTTATGTCCACTGCTTAACGGCACGATGAAAGCGGACAATGGCGCTGCTGAGCACGGAGGCTTTGGTAACTACAATGCTCCAGGAGGCGCTGCTGGATCGCCCAGTTAGAAATCGAATACTGCTTTTAATACGCGAGCTTGATCACGATCAGCCGAAACCACGACGTCGACTTTTCAAGAATGGTTAGCTGAGATAGTTTTATTGTTAGCACGAAGGGGAAAAGCAATGGCTCTACTATTCTTGGTTTTATGTTACTTCAACAAGGCTTCGGGGAGGGAATGGGCTGTACATTAAGGAAGCTCTGGTACATACTACCGAAACCAGAGGCTGATGGCATTGAAATGGAGTTTGGGATCCTTGTTGCTTCACGGAAAAGGCTGGCATGGCAACAGCAAAGACATTGCATTGACCTAGACTGCGTTGATAGTTCTTCTGGCAATATGCTATTAATAACATCATTTGAAACATTAACTTTGTTCCTATTTGTTTGCCGAACTTCATGATACTAGTACGCTTGACAACGCGGATAGCCTTTGCCGGAGAACCCTAGACGAGAAGAGGTAGGGAGAGTCCACTAACTCTGCAACCAGCACCCTTGATAATGATGTGACAAGAAGTGATCCGAGTATCCATGGATTCATATGCGGTGAAGATGTCTAGAATACGTAGGTGATAAGTTGTGGTGGTGCAGTTGACCTCTCACATCTCAGAAGTGGGCAAATTTCGAGATGCACATTTAGCCCCCATTCAGTGTCTCCACTGATAAACTGGATTAATCTCCTGACATGCTGGGTTAATTGGCCCGCATGGTTGATGCATGACCTGGTCTCGGGTGTGAGGCTGCTATGCATAATTGTATTTTTAGAAGCTGGAAAATGACGGTTGGGAACTAGGGTCTGGCATATGTCATGAGGGGGACGGGGGACGGCTATAGCTTCCAGGTGTCAATAGCTTCGGATGTGTTTAATGAGTCTATCTATACTGACTCAACTCCTCAGATTCACAATTAGTGTGAAATCAAGAAAGACAGAGCTTAGAGCCACCCGTCGGGGAGAACAGACCACGATCACCAACGCAACGGCAAACCCTCAAGCTAAAAGATGCAGCAAAAGCCCATGGAATACGAAGCAATTGCAGCGAAATGGGTGGGAACAAACGAGGCTCAGCTTCCTTTCCTGTCTGTCAAGTTGCATGAAACATAGGAAGCGATATCCGGAAGAGTTACGTTAGCCCTGTTTGCTCTAGTTGATGTGTTGTTTCCGTTGACTCAAACCAGGATATGGCCTGGGCTTTGTGGTTTCAAGATGATAAGAGCTGTATTGAGAGGTTGGTGGTTGAGGTTCGGGCTTCTTATTTGTTCGAGAAGTTACTTGCAGTTGAGACTTTTCCTTCTGCCAAGAGCCGTGGCTGATATTATACCTGATATACCTTCTACTACTCTGGAAACAGACACTAGAAAACAACGTGGTGCGACAAATAACGTCAAGTCAATGATGTTATTTCTAAAAGTCGGTGGTTGGACCTCCACTGTCCAAGTTCCATTCCGCTGTCCCGTCCCGTCCTGGTCTGTCTCCCTGAACGTTGGCGCCTCTTTAGGGGACCGTTCCAGGGCTTCGAGTGCCGTAGCCCAGACTCGGCTCCACTAAACCCACCGTGACGGTGAGCCCCGTCTGACCTCTATCCAATCACACTCACCTTATCTAAGCAAGGAGTTTTTCCTGCGGGTTCCATATTGCCTTCTTTTTTTCCCTCCCGTCGCTTTCTCCATCCCGCACCCGCACGCACGAGTGAAAGTGAACACGATCCATCTATTATTAGAAGCCATCCATCTATTCCCATCCCAACCACAGACGCCAGATTCAGCCCCATCGACGTCTATCGATCGAAACCTTCAGCTTAACGGTCGCTCGTTTGTGTCATTTTCCCACTCATTGCCCCCTTTCTCCAGCGCAAGCGCAAGCGCCAGAAAACCCAAGCCCGTTCTCTCTCTTGATCGCTCAAATCTTACTTTTCTATCGCTATCGCGTCGCGTCGCGCAACGGTCTTGAGGGCAGATCTTATCTAAACCTAGTCTCCTTGTCCCAACGGCTCTCGTGAACTCAAATTTTCATCTGCGCATCGAATCTGATGATATACGCGACTCGCATGTCTGCGTCACTCATCCTCTGCCTCACTCAGTACCCTCTTCTATCCCGCTCCCCTCAGGGCTAAAAAAAAGGTACCACCAAAGGCCAAGCTTAAAAAGAGATACCGTCGACGCGCTACTGCACCAAGTACCCCTCCACCAGCTGCCGGCCACTAAGCTACAAAGGTAGCCAACGGCCTTGGGGTCCTTTCACTGACTGAAAGGTTACTTCTACTTCGGCTTGTCCCAGCTCCAAGCAAAGCAGAGCAGAGCAAGCCAAACCACCTTCGCTTCCCTCATCAAATCCTCTCCCGCTCCCACTCTTTTTTCCTTTTAAACAACCTTCCACGGCCACCGCGACAGCCGCCTCCGTCATCTCACTCAACCTGCTCCTCTCTCGGCTTTATCCATCTACTTTTTCGGTTTATTTCTCCGTTTCCTCAAGCGTTCTTTGGTAGCATCCACTTTACCACGCCGTTTAACTATTCTTTGTTCTCGCTTACGATCACGACTACAACCGCGCTTCAACTTAACTTAACTTGACATTAACCTCGCGGCTCGACTTTCTCCGCTTCAAACTGTCGACTCCTTTTCTTTGCGACGATCTGCGCGACCCATTTCCAATTCCACCCTACTCCACTACCAACGTCTCAGGCATCTTCCATATCTTCTTGGCCGCGACCGTTGAGCTGCCCCGCGTGGAAACGCGACACATTTCTCCAACTTGAGCTGCACAGCCGTTCAACATGGGACGAAGAAAGATTGAGATCAAGGCGATCAAAGATGACAGGAATCGCTCTGTGTAAGTTAAACCCAGGATCAGCTACAAATCACCAGATCTTGGTGTCTCAAAGTTCGCGACTAACTGGCGCACAAAGCACCTTCTTGAAGCGAAAGGGCGGTCTTTTCAAAAAGGCTCATGAGCTTTCCGTTCTTTGCTCTGTCGATGTCGCCGTCTTCATTTTTGGCAACAACAAGAAACTTTACGAATATTCATCAACGGATATGCGAGAGCTTATCCACCGATATCAATACGTGAGTCCCACTTCTGGAGGCACAGCCGCAACGCCTCTGAACGCAGGCTGCGACTGCGACGCGTTGTATTATTTGCTAACAGACAATAGCATGGCGGTCCCAGTGAACACAAAGGTCCCTCTGACTTCAACGGTGGAAACGACGATGACGACGATGAGGAAAATGACGGCACCCCTCCCCATGGCCCTGAAGTTGTCGAGAACCAGATGATGCCTCCCCATGCTTACGGACAACATCAGCCTCCTTTCCCACAGATTCGACATCATACACCTTCAGCATCACCACCTATTGGTAATGGCGGCCCATTCCAAGCGCATCCCGGTCATCCTATTCAGCGACAACACACGCCGCAACCATCGATCGGCTCACGACCGGCGTCTCGAACGGATATGCGCCGAATGGGCCCCGGCATGGTTCAGCCTCCGCCTCCGGCCGGCCCTCCGCATCCCGGAATGAACTACATGCCCAATCCACCTATCTACAACTCGCCTCATCCTCCCGGTCTAATGCCTCAACATGGTCCTCATCCTCAATATGCTTATCACCAACAGCCGAGCCACCTGCAGCAACCAGGACCGTACATGGATGACCGCAGGTCCCCGATGCCCTCTCCGATGCCTCCCGCTTACACTTCGCAACCGCCGTCACAAGCAATCCAAGCTCCTGTTCGTCCAACACCGTCGCCACAACCGCCTCAGCAACAGCTTCCTCCGAACATGTCGCAAATGTCACCTCCGCCGCCCCAGCCTGAACGTCGACTTCAAGATCCTCCACCACCGCCTCCCGTGGAACCCAAGACGGAACCACAAGAACGCCCTCAGCCGCCACTACTGAATACGGACAGTGCCATCAAGAAGCTACCTCAAAGAAAATCCCACAGTATCTTCACTCCCATCGAAGAGAACCGATCTATTTTGTCCCAGCATCTGGCATCTTTTACTTCCGAGTCGAACAAATCAGAGTCTGCTGCTGCCGCTGCCGCTGCTAATGCTGCAAATGCCGCCAACCGTTCACAATCAGTTGATGTGGCTGCACTGAACAGGGCCGCGGATGGGCCCAAATCATCACCCCATTTGCCACAGCGTGCCAGTACCCAGACCGATGATAAGTCTCGAACAGTATCGCTGTCGTCAATACCAGAAACCACTTTGACTCCGCCCTCGCGTTCTAACAGTGCAAAGGCCGGCGGCCCCGGTGGAGCTCGACCTCGTGGCCCTCGCTTAACGGTGCAGATTCCGGATGGTGGATCTGAAGGCGGCGGTAGCGCACGAACGGCAGAGTCAAACTCGCCGCGAATTGCCACAGAAACTACAACGCAGGCGCCTCAACGCCACAACTCTCAGTCGTCACTTGTGCTTCCTCCTCCCTCTCCGTCTGCGTCAGCAATATTGTCCGCTGGTGCTACTGGCCCCCCAAATCCTTTTGCCCGGCCGCCTCCTCAGCAGAATGTGAATGGTGATACTCCTGTCTCTGCCTTGCCATCACGTTTCTTGACAAATGAACTCCTCCCGAGTCCAAGTAGCTTCTATCCCGATTGGAACTTCCGGGGAGGTGACAGTAACACACTACCAAGTCCGCTGAACTTTGCAACGCCAGTTGTCGGTTCAGGTCCCAGTTTCCTCAGAGATGACCTGAACACGACACCAAATGCAAATTCCAACGCTTCTAAGGACAAGGATCTCCTGCCTCATGCCAATGGGAGCTCAACTCAGAACTTGAGTGTTGCTCCAAGCAATTTTACTGCCACGAAACGAAAGACTCCTGAACCAGGAGCCACAACGCAGAGCGATACTGCGGAGGAGTCAGAGCCAAAGAGGATGAAAGTGGAGGAGTAGTCCTCGATTTTGGGAATTGTTCTCATACAAAAGTGCTTTTTGCTAAACGCTTCAACCGACAGGGCATCATAGGCTGGCCTCTGCATGCCAGTCATAGAACATCATCAGAATCGGCCAGTGTCGTGTTTACGGCCTTACAGTCTATTGTTTTGAGGCAGCTTTTGCCTGTATTCCTTTCATCTCGAATATTATACCTGGTTTGTAAGCCCTTTGTGTATGGGGGTAACTTGCAGTGTTTGGAGTGAACTATGCAGAATAGTCTGCTTGACGAAAAAGTGAAGGGAGTTTGTTCTGGAGGTGCCTAGTCCTTGTTGTAATTTATGTCTGTTTCGGAGGGTGTCATTTCTGGGAGTTCGGATAGATGATACCGGCGACGAATATGTTGACCTAATCAATATACTGGATGAATAGCAGATTGATGTGTGGTGATCTCTTTGAACCTCGTGTATTATCCTAAGCGCCATTACCTGTAGCGAAAGTATCCCGACCTCTTGCGCAAATATCTAGCTGTATCCAAACTTGCATAAGCATTAATCTATCATTATTCGTGTATCTGTCTGTACCCATCAAACGGTGTCTATCTAAGCGTAGTTCAAAACTCCTTTCAGAATCCACTGTATCTCAAGTTAGCATGTCGCCCATCATGATCTTAATAAACTTACCAGCTCCCCATTCCCAACCTGACTAGCCACCCTCTCAACCTCAACCTCATCAGGCATGATAACCCTCCGTCCCTCCTTAACCTCCCACCAAATCTCCTTCCCTCCCAGCGTCTTACTCTTCTCCCCCTTCTCCCACGGACTAACAGGCACAAGATGCGCCTCCACAAACCGTCTCATATTCTCCCTCGCCCTATCCTGCCCCCCATCACCCTCATACGCATCAGCCCCAAAATTATTGTAATCAGCAGATTGTTCCCACGGTTTGCGCGGTAGCGCATCAACAGCTGAGTTAAGCGGCGCAAGAACAGTAGTGTTCGTAGATAAATCGCTTAGTCTTGTATCGGTGGATGGCTGCATGCGCGCGAATGATGAGAAGCTCGTTAGACCGCGGTTGGAGCCTAGGATGTCGCCGAGGGCGACGGAGGGTTGGACGGAGGGCGGGTTGGAGGACATTAGAGGGAGATGGCCTTTTAGAGGGATGGGAGGTTTGGGGAGTGGTGCTTGATTGTCGCGGAGGGGAGACTGGGAGGAGGATGTTAGGCTGAATAGAGCTGTTAAGGCGATAAGAGGTTTCATTGTGAAGTTGTTGATGTAGGTTTAGGTTATGGTTGAGGTTTGACAGTACGTCATGAGGGGATTTGCGTATTGGGGTAACGTGATAGGTCACGGGATCGTTATCTCAATGACTTACACCAAAGTTGCGCCGCATGCCCGATACATTCTCTGGGGATCTGACCTATCTAGAGTATCTTTAAGACGGCGTCTCCCCTTGACTTTATGTTGTTATGGATAACTCTAGTGCACGAGAGCCTGTAACTGTATGGAGCGGTTGTGAGCCGCGAGACGAACTATCCTGAGTTCTCTAATGGGAGTCACGGAGTTGGCTTCAAAATAACAGATATCAAAGTGCCAAAGACTAGTTAAGCGGCTAGAATCTTTACTTAGCCTGACTATTTCTTGGAACAGTACTATGTAAACTGTCATTACCTGTGCACAACTCCTCACTGGCGAAATTGGTCGATAAGACATCTGAGCCGTTAACCGAACGTTTTGATCCACCATGAAACTGAGATGCATTGCGTATATGATACAATGAATACGCTAGAATCACCGTCTACTCAAGTTCGGTACGGATTCCAATCACAGAAGACTCAATACAATGCTTACCTTCGGCTATTGGGTGTATGGCGCTTCTCCTACCCGGTAGTATAGTGATTAAGGGTCATGTTATCTACGTCATTGGCTTTAAGATTGAACCCTGCATAAAGAGTCCCTCTTGCAAAGATGAGAAAGGGTTCAGCAAAGCAACAGGTAGACCGTCTAAACTGCGGGTTACAATCAGGCTGATTCGACTCGGACTCTGAGTTCCATTGATCCTTCGGTACTGATATTCACATGTGAAAATATGCTGAGTCAGCCCCCAGATTTCAGTAAGACGGCAGAGGTTCTGGACAAATGGATAAGCAGAAGTGGCGGAGGCTCAGGCAATTTCCGGGGTCAGATGATGCACGTGTAAGAGAATCTGGGGAAAACATAAACCAAGGAGGAATTCCATCCCCAGAGAAAGAAGGCAGACAAGACTTTCACGTGCTTTTTAGAACTGTAAGCGAATGAGCGACGTCGAAAAAGAAACCAGCTGACCAGGTCAAACTGTCACAAGCCTGAGAATGAATGCCTGTCACTGGACCTCTAGTCATGAACGTGGGGAAGACGGCGTCATGGACAAGATGCGGGAGGGTTTCAGTTATGCAGACGATTCATGTGCTTTTTTGGAGGAGATAGCATGTGAAAGTCTGATGTTTTATTGAACTCACTGACACAAGTGTGGAATTGATCAGTTCAGATCACGTGTACGGTACGAGTTCATGTTTGAGTGATCCGTGGTGTGTCCGGTTACTTGGCCGAGGTGGTCGGTCACAAGTCCGGCTGGTGTGGGGTTTGGAGAAGAGATTCATGATTGGATGAGTCTCAAGTGTCAGAACGAGGAGAAAGAAGAAGAGTGAGGAGATTGCATGAGGAGAATGTTTTTTCACATGCTCAGAGTTATAATAAAATACATAGACGAGATATAATACACCGGTTAAAGACCATGCTCCCATGATAGACTCCCCTTTAGACAATTCGGAACCACGGAACCAAGGAACGACAAAAGTGTTAACTCAACACCTTAGCCTGTTGCTTGGTAGCTTTCCCCACAATGTCCTTCAGAAGCGGAGACCTCGGCACATCAGTCGCGAGAGAGAGCATTGTCGGTGGGTTGCCCGGTCGCCTGGTAGACAATTGCGATGCGGTGTTTCGGCGTAGCTTACGGCGAGGGCAGCGAGTAACTGAGCCGAAGTGATCTTTGTTGGGGACAGAATGTGGACTAGAAACTATAGGCCCCTCAATTGGTGAGAGATCCCAAGTTTACAGAGTATTACACCTCAATAGACGAGTAAATGTTCATATGGAAGGCAACTGATAGAATTGATGCACTTCCCCCAATCCCCAAATTCTAGCTGTAGCGGGGGTGGATACAGGGAACTGACGCTAAGTCTCAGTGGGCATTGCAGCCGCTTCCGGGGAGCAATCCTAGGCCTTGGCCTTGCTATGCTGAGAAAACGGTGGCATCTGATTTGCTGCAGCTCAAAAGTCCGTCAGGTCAGTGTTTGCGACAGTCATGAACAGAGAGGCCAAAAGGTATAAAAAAGTGCCTTTTAACAGTTGAGAGAAGGGTAAAAGTATAGATACATCATTCGACTTGAAGTAATAGAGAGATTTACGCTGTTTTTATGGTAAAACAAGTAGTTGGACCTCGTTGATGACACACGTCGTTAAACTCACCTCTCTCCTCAGGTGGCCCACGCCCGCTCTTTTTTGCACGCGCTCATCATTCATGGTTCGACCTCGGCATCCACTACTGGGTAACGCCTTGCTACTGTACCCTTGGATCTTTCGGTTCGGTGCTTGCCTCTCGCCCTCGGCCTTGTTGGCGTCCATGTCCATCGATCGAATCGCATACAGTACTAAATAAGAACTTGTCCCTTGATCCTCCTCTTCCTCCAACTTTTTTCTTTTTGAACTTGTATTCTTATCCCCCCCTCCCAAGAAACTAACTCTCCATCTCCCTTTTTCTCTTGTATTCTGCGTGAGAGTCTGCCGTGTCATCTTTATACCCTCCCCATATACTCACATACAAAACACACACGCAATAATGGCTCCTAGAGTGATTGTCGTTGGCGGTGGCCGTAAGTTGACACTGATTCGCCTCTCGGAGGTGTTGCGCGATGTGTTGCGACGATTCTAACTTCTGTTCCCAGTGTCTGGTCTGTCTGCTGCACACACCATTTACTTGGCTGGTGGCAACGTCGTTGTCCTCGACAAGCAGGGTAAGTTGGTTCCGAATCTCACTAAGCCAGCGCATTGAAGCGCCTGGACTTACTAGACCGCAACATTCACTGACATACGCTTCCTGTAGGCTTCTTCGGTGGAAACTCTACCAAGGCTACTTCCGGTATCAACGGTGCTCTCACAAGGACGCAGGTTGAGACTGGCATTCCCGACAGCGTTCAGCAGTTCTACGATGATACCCTCAAGTCCGCCCGTGACAAGGCTAGACCCGACCTTATCAAGGTCCTTACCTACAAGTCCGCTGCTGCTGTCGAGTGGCTTCAGGATGAGTTCAACCTCGATCTCACCCTCGTCTCTCGTCTCGGGTATGTTCAATTCGCCTCCCGTCGCATTGCAAACAGTAACCTAACAATCATCACAGTGGCCACTCCCAGCCCCGAACCCACCGAGGTCACGATGCCAAGTTCCCCGGTATGGCCATCACCTACGCCCTGATGCAGCGCCTCGAGGAGCTTGCCGAGAGCGAACCCGGCCGTGTCGAGATCATCAAGAAGGCCCGCGTCACCGAGCTTAACAAGGAGGGCAACAAGGTCACTGGTGTCAAGTACGAGTACAACGGCGAGATTGTCTCCATCGACGGTCCCGTCGTCCTCGCTACTGGTGGCTACGCTGCTGATTTCTCCGACTCTTCTCTGCTCAAGAAGCACCGACCTGATACCTATGGCCTTGCCACCACAAACGGCACACACGCTACTGGTGACGGTCAGAAGATGGTTATGGCCATTGGCGGTAACGGTATTGACATGGACAAGGTCCAAGTCCACCCCACAGGTCTCGTTGACCCCAAGGACCCCGGCTCCAAGTGGAAGTTCCTCGCTGCTGAGGCTCTCCGTGGTGAGGGTGGCCTCCTCCTCAACGCCGATGGTGACCGATTCTGTGACGAGCTTGGCCACCGTGATTACGTCTCCGGCATGATGTGGGAGGAGAAGAAGAGGAACAAGTTCCCCATCCGCCTTATTCTTAACTCCAAGGCCTCCAAGGTCCTTGACTTCCACACTCGCCACTACTCTGGTCGTGGTCTCATGAAGAAGATGACCGGTAAGGAGCTTGCCAAGGAGATTGGCTGCACTCCTGAGCACCTCCAGAAGACCTTCTCTACCTACAACGACATTGCCGATGGCAAGCAGAAGGACCCCTGGGGCAAGAAGTTCTTCCACAACTTGCCCGTCAACGTTGACGATGACTTCCACGTCGCCGTCATGGAGCCCGTTCTCCACTTCACCATGGGTGGTATTGAGATCAATGACAAGGCTCAGGTCCTCAACCAGGAGAAGCAGCCCTTCGAGGGTCTCTACGCCTGTGGTGAGTTGGCTGGTGGTGTTCACGGTGCCAACCGTCTTGGTGGTTCTTCTCTTCTCGGCTGTGTTGTCTACGGCCGTGTTGCCGGTGACACTGCTAGCAACTACCTCTTCCAGAACGCTCTTAAGGGCGGTGCCGGCAGCGCTGCTGAGCGTGTTGGTCAGATCTCTCTGCACCTCGACCCTTCAGTCCCCAACCAGGTGACTGTCTCCTGGGGTGCTCCCGGCGCCGCTCCCTCAGGCTCTGGTGCTCCTTCAAAGGTTGACGAGCAGGCTACCGCCTCTGCTGGTCCTAACCCTACCAAGGACGACGGTGCCAAGGCTGCTAAGCCCAACGACCCCAAGGCCTTCAAGGTCCCTGAGAAGGAGTTCACCATGGAGGAGATTGCCAAGCACAACACCAAGGACAACGTCTGGGTCGCCGTCAAGGGTGTCGTCATGGACCTCAGCAACTGGCTCGAGGAGCACCCCGGTGGCGTACAGGCCATCCTGAACTTCATGGGCCGCGACGCGACTGAGGAGTTCGAGATGCTGCACGACGACGAGGTCATCCCTAAGTACGCGCCCCAGCAAGTCATTGGCCGCGTCAAGGGCCAGGAGGTTACTCTCGAGCCTTAGGTCGAATGTCTGATGTAACTATGGTGACGCGGCGATGACTATTGTGTGATTTTTTGTGCGAGCTTTTGTAGTACCCTATGCCCGCCAAAAAAGGGGGCTCTGGCAAATATTAGGCGTCTGGGATTTTTGTATTCATAGGCGGGATGCATGCAAGCTTGTTGCTAAATCTAGTTTATACAAATTTATGAAGATATTGTTAACATTCAGTAACCCGTTTCTGTGCAGTTTGTCTGGTGGTGAAACTTGGTTGTTGGCGGCTGTGTTGGCCAATGGTAAGGATGGTGGCTTGGAGGTTATTGAACATTGCACTTGTATCACGGAGGA